TTAATTTCTTCTTTGGCAGGTATCTTTATTGTGCATTACAATTAATTAGGTCTACTTAGTTTATTTTGAATACTATTTTTGGTACAGCTGAAACAGAGCCTTTCTAATTGAAATTATGTTTATGCACTTTGTATAATTTTAAATGCATAATATGAAGGCCATGTGTGTCTTAGTGACAGTCACACTTATTACCTAATTTCCTACACTTTTGTTAGAGCTAACATATAATAAACACAAATAGATGTAAGAAAATGTTGGCTTTTTCTCAGTTAGAACAAATCCTTTGAGAAAAATAAAACAGTTTTGATGGCTGAAGTATGTGCTAATAGAGATATTTTGTGACATGTTGGCTTTTTCTCAGTTAGAACAAATCCTTTGACAAAAATAAAACAGTTTTGATGGCTGAAGTATACTATTCAAAAAAAGTAGGGGATATTTGATTTTGGGGGCATAATACTAAAATATGCAAATGACTACGAAAAAAGTCACTATAAAACCTAACAGAAGAAACATTTCCAGTTACATGTGACGCCCAAACGCACCAATAGCTACCGCATGGAATGCAGGTGATGCTTGGAATCATCATGGGGGTCCAACCCAAGATTTGCAGGACTCTGACTTTGAATGTTACAGTCATTGTGGCATTGAATTCCAGGGTGGAAACATCAGTTTAATTGTTTTAGTGACCAGAAAACAAATTTTGATATGCGTCGGCTTACCCAAAATGAAAGGTTACGTGCCCTTGGCATGCTACAGATCGGCACAACACAGGCGGTTGTGGTGCGGACGATGAATGTTTCTCAGTCTGTCATAAGCAGGCTATGGTCCAGATACCGTGATACACAATCTGTACAGGACAGACCACGCTCAGGTCGACCAAGGGCGACAACCCAAGCACAGGATCGATTTATCCGTACCTTGGCCTTGAGAAATCGTGTCATCACAGCAAATAAGATCAGCGCTCGTCTTCAAACAGACACTGGTGTGAGAGTGAGTGGCCAGACGATTCGGAATCGACTGCATAGGGGTCACCTTCGCGCCCGACGTCCTCGCGTGATCCCTTGTTTGAGAGATCATCACATTCAGGCAAGACGTCGTTGGTGTAGGGATCGTCAACACTGGGATAATCGACGCTGGAGCAATGTGATGTTTTCAGATGAGTCAAGGTTCACTGTTGATTTTTTGGACAGACGTAGGAGGGTGTGGCGTCGTCGAAACGAGCGCTTCCAAGACGTTAACGTCATCAGACATGATCGATTTGGGGGTGGTTCTGTTATGGTGTGGGGAGGCATCACTGTTGCTGGAAGAACGGCTTTACATGTTGTTGCAGGGCGTGTTACAGGCCAGTACTACCGGGACAACATCTTGACAGTCCATGTTGTGCCGTTCGCACGACGTCATGGCCGCCGTTTCATCTTCCAGGATGACAACGCAAGATGTCACAGGGCCAGGATCGTTACAGGTTACCTCCAACAACAGAACATCACCACATTACCTTGGCCAGCACTGAGTCCCGACCTCTCCCCCATCGAGCATGTCTGGGACATGCTTGGACAGAGGTTACGTCAACGTCAACAACGTCCTGCCAATGTCCAAGAACTTGCTGCTGCGTTGGAACAGGAATGGGACAATCTGGACCAAAATGACCTTAGACGTCTCATTAGGAGTATGCCACGTCGGATCAATGCTTGTTTGGCAAACAGAGGAGGATTTACCCGTTACTGACTTGGTTGTGATGCTGTGGTAACTTTGCTGTTTGACCCCTGGTATCATTTTACCCTTATAATGGTCAGTCTGTGCCTTACTTAGTCTAACGATCATTTGGAATAAATCGATGAATGTGAACTTCATTTCATTTTGTCATTTGTTTCTTCGTCAGTTTCATTAGGTGACTTTAATAACACTTAAAAATCAAATATCCCCTACTTTTTTTGAATAGTATATGTGCTAATAGAGATATTTTGTGACATTTATTTGACACCATCATTTACAAGGGATTTGTCAACTGTCAACTGACAATAGTACATGTTATGAATAAATAATAATTAGAATAAAGTACATGAAATATCAATAGCCAAATGTGCTTTAAGTACAGTATAACAATCTGACTAAAACACAAATCCTATTTCGTTTTGTTTTTTATAGTTCAAAATTTTGTTTTACTTGCCTTCACTATACTAGGATCTGGAAGAGTTGTTATATAACCCGCCCTCTGGTTGCTGCGAGGGATTAGCCAATGAAATTTTCTGTTGAGGCGAGTTCTTGGCGCGTGGTGCACGGAACTGTGGGTAGACATTCACAGAAAAGACAAAGCGAAAGTTGTATTTTCAAACACCCATGATCCACTTGGATCATCAACGTGGACTGGTTAATTAAATGTCTGACGTCACAGGGTCAAAAGCCACTTGTGTGACCCAAGGCGCGACTGGTCAGACCTTCCTGTAGTGGAGGCCATCGAAAGTATAAAAACAAGTCAACAGTGAGGCTGATGTCCCCCGCCGAAATCTCCAAATAAATAGATGACACATATTAATTAATCACACATCTATTTTTTTCAAAAGTATCGAGCAATAAAATTGATAATCAACTATACACTAAGTTTCATCACTCTCTATCAGATAGAATCACAGTTATCTTGTCCCAAAGCATCGACCAAGGAAATTGCTTATCTCTGCTTAGCTTTAGCTCGATATGTTAATCATTGAACTCAGTCAAGGCGAACATCTACATCCATTAGAAGCAGAGTTGTTATGTTCCAAAGTCTTGACCAATCAAAATACTTATTGCTCCTTAGCCTAAGCAGACAATTCTCATCATCGAACTTAGTCAAGGTATTGATGTAATGAAACTATACACCAAGTTTCATTACTCTCACTTAATTAGAACTTAAGTTATGGACATTGTGTCCCAAAGAATCAACCAATGAAATTGCTTATCTCTACTTACCATAAGCAGAAAATGCTCATCTTTGCACTCTATCAAGGCATTGACCTCATAAACACCTACACCAAGTTTGAACATTCTAGCTCAATTAGAAGGAGAATTATTGTGTTCCAAAGTCTCGGCCAATCAAATTGCTTATAGCTCTGCTTACCTTGAGCAGAAAATGCTCAATATCGAACTTAGTCAAGGTATTGATGTAATGAAACTATACACCAAGTTTCATCACTCTCACTTAATTGGAACTAAAGTTATCGTGTCCCAAAGCATCAACCAATCAAATTGCTTATCTCTACTTACCCTAAGCATAAAATGCTCATCTTCACACTTCATCAAGGCATTGACCTAATAAACACCTACACCAAGTTTGAACAATTTAGCTCGATTAGAAGGAGATTTATTGTGTTCCAAAGTCTCAGCCAATCAAATTGCTTATCGCTCTGCTTACCCTGAGCAGAAAATGCTCATTATCGAACTTAGTCAAGGCATTGATGTAATGAAACTATACACCAAGTTTCATCACTTTCACTTAATTAGAACTAAAGTTATCGTGTCCCAAAGCATCAACCAATCAAATTGCTTATCTCTGCTTACCCTAAGCAGAAAATCCTCATCTTCGAACTCCATCAAGGCATTGACCTAATAAACACCTACACCAAGTTTGAACATGCTAGGTCAATCAGAAGGAGAGTTATTGTGTCCCAAAAAGTGTGACGGACAGACAGACCCATTTTAATAGTCCCCTGCTTTCTTCGAAAGGTGGGGGATAAAAAACGAAAAGAAATATAGATCTGTATTTTAATTAGATTGACATTATGAGAAATGTCCTTTGTTGAGTATCCTTTAACAAAAATACATTAATTTGATTAATAAAAAAGTACTTGACATGAGTGTATTCAAATCTGATTATATGCAAAACAAGAAATAAATCAGTCAGTCTACTCATGAAACAGCCAGTCTACTGACATATTTTATATGTATGTTAAAATTTAGGAGTTTTTCATATTAATTACATGTATCTATTGGTTTTCAAGTTTAGTTATGGATTGTGCAAAGTACTTTGATCAAATTAGTTCTTTGTTCAGAATCTCGATAATTCATCGTTAATATGATATTACATAATAAAATAAATATTACTTGGTGAAAATTATGTTTTTTGTTTTAATTTGAGTGATTAAAAAATAAATAACAAATTTCAATTGTATAAACTTTAAAGAAAATGTAATAAATGCGGGCTGATGAATATTCAACTGATGCAGACATGTGGTGCACTTAATACACACACAGAAACACACTATCTTTTGTTCTTTTTATTAAAATTTGTTTTCCAATTTGAAATGATATCAGCATGTTACAAAATTTTAAAAAAATATAAAAATTAAAATTTCTATGAAAAAATCTGACAAGCTATATGCTGTTATATTAGCAAATCTTAACATAATGCATTGATCGAAAAAATTGTGATTTTATCGATTTGGAGCTTATGATTCGTGATTAATGTTCCATACCTAATGGCAAATGTAACCATACTAAAGCCCGACCATGAATATTGTGGATACAGAAAATAGAGCAAAAATATATTACATTCAATATTAAAATTCAGAATATTATTATGTACTGTCATTGCTGTCATTGCTACAGGACAGACTGTGTAGGCTACAAATACACCACAATGTCATCTTTCTGATTATAAAACTATGAAATTAGCTTTTAACAATTTTTTTGTTAAAACTCATGTATGGGCAAATATCTAAACTAAAATGCCAGTTGAGATATTTAAAATTTATATAAACTTAGTTTTTATTCTTTATATATAAGTATTGAAACTTAAATAATTTAGATGGATGAGTGAGAAAAAGTTTTCATGACAGCTGGTGTCATATTCAATAAATAAATTCTGCACAATAATTTTAGCTTTAAAACAAAACAATTCATTGTAACTGTACCAACAAACAAAGCAATCCAAATATAACGGTGTCCATGACTGTCATCACAACTGACATTTATACTCTAATGATGTAAAACTCTTTTATGAACAATATTATATTAATTAAACTTACTGTTTTTTTCGCCACTTCCCAACCACTGTCATCTTTCATGTAACCTTGAAGAATATCAGCAGTTTTATTGGCAATTTCCCTAAAATCCATATTATTGCTGTAGACTTTTCCGGCGTTTAGTGTAGCTTAGTCGCTTGAGTTATGCAGTCTGTCGGTAAAAATGCTCTTTATTGCAATGCTCGCCAGACAAACCCCCACATGTGACATATAACCCCAAGGTCGAAGTTGAAAGGTTAAAGGCTGGGGACCGTTTGTTGGTGTATTATATACACATGTAGTTAGTAATGTGTTGTTAAGAAATAAAGGATTTTTTTAAAAAAATATATATATATATTATTACAAAGATAAAATTATCTAGTTGTTTCTAGTCATCTGACTTAAAGCACCGACATATGTATCAAAATATTTGCTTATTTCAACTTACAAAAATGAATAAGTACTCCCTTCTAGAAATCATAACATTTATCGAATCGTTACACATACAAGAACAGAATGGATGGTAACAATGGATATCGAAACTTCTTTGGTTCTTATCGAAGACCTTACGATCGGAAGGGCAGAAATGAGTAAGTTTCGGAAACCAATATTACTAGTACTAGTAGTATTACATTAGCCAATTGCATTGGTATTCGTCAAACAGTTAGGATTAGTTAGTTCGACTAGTCCTCTTCTTAATTGTAATTTTTTTCCAACTTTTTCTACAAATCAGATTATTCTTTAAATTTATTAAAATTGAATCACTTCCCACACTTTTTGTTAATGGTAAATAACCACTCTCTCAACTGTCACATTTTACTTGTTAAGTTCGGTAGCCAGGTATTTGTCTAGTTCAGCTCTGAACGTAGGTCTCATACTGATCGAGAGAGATTGGGTTTAACGTCCACTCCACACAAACTAGGTCATTTCGGGACCAACATGTTACATATGGTTTAATTTTATTTCGATTTTACTTGTCTTTACTACACTTGGATCTGGAAGCGTTGTTATTTAACTCGTGTTCTGCTTGAAATGAGGGGTCATCCAATCAAATGGTCTGTCGAATCGAGCGTTTGACCTTTTTTGCGCGGAACTGTGGGTAGACATTTGCAGCAATAGAAATCAAAACAAAGCAAAAGTAGATAAAAAATACATGGCGGTCGCTAATTACTAATTGGTTAATCGAATGACTGACGTAATCGAGTCAAATGTCACTTGCTTGGTACCTGACGTCATAGAATGTGAACTCCCGCTATAACATGTTAGATCTACATGTAGTGTAGGCCATCGAAAGTATAAAATACGAAACGAAATATAGATCTATATTTTAATTAGATTGGCGTCACTAGATTCTGAATTATAGTACAGACACTTCCCACCTTCAACACACACACCCTACAGTATATCATACAATCACAACAATAAAATCTCTAAAGCTAGTAGTGTGAAAGATCACAAAGTACTAACACCAACAGGATTAAGGAAAAAAATATATAGTAATCTTGATCGCACTAGCCTAATGTGTTTTCATTTCATCAATTACCAATATTAGTTTTGACAAATTAGCATCCATTATGTCTGGGCAGTTTGCATATTTTGCAATGACTTTTGGAATGACTCATGAAAGGGAATGATATTGAATGGGACTATGGGACGTTAATTTTTTTTTGTCAGTTGTAGATAATTTTATTTTAAAATATGATTGTCATGTTTGTAGTTTCATAATTTATTGAACATCATCAATTTATTCTGAAATAACTTCTTTGTATTTACAGTAGTGGCATTTAGTAATTGAACAGGAACATGCTCAAACTTATTATTATTTCATTTGTAAATTGTGTTACTCTAAAATAAAAATAAGCTAGCATGTGGAATTGACAATAAAGCAGCATGGGTTGTGGTGAGGATGGTGAAGACAATTTATATTTCTGTTTTATTTCCAATTTTAATGGGCTAAATCAGTTACTTAGATAAGAAAAATGTTTGTAGAATCATATATCTTTGGAATACCGGTATTGCTATTTTAGACTTAGCTTTAATTTAAAATTAAATTATTTGGAATTTTTTTAAATAAAAATATTGCCTCAGTGCTTTTATTGGTCAGACATATTTATTGCATTTTTCTAAAAAAATAACTTAGTTCATTTAATTTATTTTAAGTTGACAAGATTCATTAAAGATAATAATCAGTATCAACAACAACATCCTGTAGGCCTACCCTTTGACCGACATATTTGGAAAATGTACAGTAGTGAATAAACAATAGTACCGGGGTATCTGTAGTTATTGTTAATCTATGACCAAATATTTAGCAGTGTTCATGTGATGTATAACAAATAGAATCAAGCATCCCAATTATGCCACCTGATTTATAGTGGACACAATAAATTGAGTTCACTTACAAACTACCACGACCACTGACAATATCAATATATTAAAAGACTGAACAGTTACATGCTCAGTTCTAGATATGGCATGAATGGGGCAAGTTTGAAAACAAAATTTCATGATGATACATTCAAGTTTTTTTTTAATGTAATGGTACTGTGGAATAATAATTGTATACATGTACCAAAAAATGTAAGTAAAATGTGTTTTCATGGAAACACAAAAGACGATTAAATCCAAGAAATTTATAATTAGCAAAAGGCACCCACCCAGCAATATAAAGTTATTTTACAAAGGTTCAGGGCGGGATAATGAATCAAAACAAACAAATCAGAAATTTTAAATGAATACCCTTTTAAGACAAATATTGGTTTCCGGAAGTGGTTATTATTAGTTAATCCAATAATGATTGAGAAAGGTCAGTACATGATTGAGCATTACAGAACTGAAAATTTTAATGTGAAAATGCCAATAAATTTTCACTAATTGGACAAGACGAGGAGTAAGCTTTGTGCCATTTAAATAAAGTCAAATTTGTCATAAATCAGTGAATGCATTCCCTACCATATATTAAAATAAATGTCAAATTGGAAGTGTAATTATATGTTGGACGAAATCAAGCAGAGATGAGAGTAAATAATATTTTTGTAAGTTCAAATAAATATTCTGATACATTATCAGCTTTTTAAATCAGATAGTCTGTACGAATTTTACCTCGATCATTTAGAAGAGTAATTATGTTATACTGATATTACAGTATTTTAAAATAAATATAGAATTAGAAATGTAATTAAGTGTTTGATGAAATCAAGCAGAGATGGCAGTAAATAGATATATATATACAGGTAATTTCTATTTAGATAGCAAGTTATTATGAGGGCTATGATTAGTTAATAATTAGTTCATATTGTTCACTACTGTCATTGAAAAAAGCGCAAAGTTTAACTATTCACTATTCATATGCTTTTGACATTTATTTAGTTACTGTCATTATGGCAAATTCATAAAATGTTCAATTTCTTTTATTTACCTGAAACAAGATGAAATTACCAAATTTTTAAATATCGGTTCAAATAAGTTTGTCTATAATAAAGAATTACACAACATTTATTTTTTCAAGAGTAAAAAAGCTGCATTCATTTTTTAAACAGAAATATTAATTTCAACCTCAACCTCAATATCTGAAGTTAAAGAAGCTAAATCACTATTCTTGGGCACAAATTGGTCGCAACGCATATAATATGAATGTATATAAACTGATTTACATTCAATCGTTTCTATTTTTTCTGTTATTTCTATTCAGTTATGTCCGTCAAAATACGCAAAGAGTGCAAATTAAATGGCAGTCTCCGGCGTCTTGTTATTCCAGTTTACTCCGGTATTCTTCCCTTACGGGATATGTTCAGCCTCGTTGATCTAGTTGCTTCATTACAAATGGCGCTCTGAAGCATTCTGGCACGCGATTCGTGTGCCAAGTTTAAAATTTTCATTGTGTCTCATTGGCGGATCCAGAGTGGGGGTTTGGGGGGTCACAAAACAACTTTTTTTTGTGAGAAAAGTGTCATAATTGTGCTTTATCCTTTATCGTCAGATGGTGCGACAGGATGGGCACTCAAAGCGTGAGATAATGATATATGTGATATCAAAATTAATACTTTGCAAAAATAATTAAATTGAATCACAATGTCATCGTATTAATTCATAATAAAAATTGACGTCAAACAGGATGTTGGATTTCTCTGTTTAAAAAGCTCAATGTGTATATACATATATACGCCAAAATGACAATAGAGACCATTTATTTCTCAAAAAATTTCAAGGCGGGGGGGAGGGAGATACATTTTCTCAGGAACCTGGCAAACCCCCTCCTGCAAAAATTCCTGGATCTGCCCCTGTGTCTTAAACATTGGATACCAGAAGCCCATCTTTTCACTGTAGAATAACAACATCAAGACAATGTTGATTTAAGTTGACCAATAAGTCGTGTTTGCAATGTTGAAGGCAGTGGATGATACTTGGCTACTTTAATTTTGGATAGTTATATGCTTAACTATTTAATTTTCATTTCAGTGATGACTTTGATGATAGTGATGATTATGACATGAGAAACTTTGTAAGGGAATTCCGTGACATGGATGGAATGTTTGCACATTTCCATGATGACATGTCAAGACAAATGGAAGAAATAAACAGACAAATGGAAGACATGTTCAGAAACTTTGGATCTATTGACTACTCCCCAAGTAAGGATTTTCCCGCAATTGATGTCAGTGTTACCACTTACATGTTTAATGTTAAAATCTGTGTTTTTGTACCATGTCATATTTACAACATAATTGAATTATTATATAATGAAGATAGTCTTGAAGTGTTTTGTTTGTGTCGAGTTGCCTTAACCCCCGCTTCAACATTCCAACATTCTTCACAGAGATTTGATACAGTAAGCCTGCATTGTATTCTTGTATTCGTCACTTACACAAGTGAGAAAAATCTATTCAGAACACAGTGTTGGGTAAAGAATAACCAAACAATAGCTTTATAAGCAGAGGTGGATTTTCGACAGTGCTCTTTTTTACTGCTGAAAGTGCCTTTTCTCAGACCCAAATATGTCCGTTCCCAACCCGTTGCAGGGATCCCAAATGACTCAAACCATCGATTCAAACACACCAGTCTGGTCTAATTAATGCTTCCACTTTCAACCGAATTCTTGTTGTTTAGCTGACGGTGCCCTAATCCTATAGAGTGACTATAGACAGACATCTTGTGGAATCGGCGGCGTATACACTCATGTCCATCACCCATGCGCATGAGTGCAACTTGATGTAGCATTGTTTCATGTGTGGACAGTACAAAGTACAAGTTACAAGGCTTCAATAGTGAAGTGGCTAGGGAATAGATTCGTCTTTTTTCCCATCATAATGCCTTGCTCGCCCTTGACAATTTTCGAGTCGCATGTTCAACTGGCTTTTTTGCTCGATTTTAAGGCTCTTTTTCATCGATTTCCGAATGTTTACTTAGACGAAAATATCAGCCAAATAGCTCTTGGAATGGCTACAGATGCAAGGATAATTTTCTTGGAGGGACCCCCCCCCCCCCCAAAAAAAATCCCCTCTCAGTGGCATGCCCCGTCTCCGCAGTCAGTGCCCTCATTTTGCGGCGCCCCCCTCCCTTTTCAAAATTCCTAGATCCGCCCCTGATAGGTATATTATAAAACTAATTTTTTTTTCCAGAACATTATTACACGCCAGCGATTGAGTATGAAAGTCCACGAGACAAAATGTTGAAAGATCAAGATAGACCCTCCAGATTCCCTGCACGTCGATCCATTGTAAGAATTAAATCAATTATAGAATTTTTCTTGTAATTCTCATGACAGTGACACAATAAAGTACAAACAGTAGTGAGTAATAGGGTTGTGGGGAAGAAGACTAGGTCATCAACTTCCTGCACCCCTTGCACAAAAATTAAGTCAATTTGTTTCAGTGGGGAAAAAAAAAAGATTATTTATCTGAGAAATTTTTAATTAGCGAATGGCAATTACTACAACAAGTTGATGTGTGTGCAAAGTTTAAAAAATCATCTTGAATGGTTCCTGAAATAATACTTCTCTTTAAAAAAAACAACACGGATGGAGATTAAGTATCACTCTCCTTGATTTGCCGCAGGATAATGAAAATTGCTGTTAATCCAGTTGAGACAAAGAAAAATCCCCTATATAAGATCTAACCGAAATAATTTCTGGACATTTGTGGAGAAAAGTGTTCTGTGAAAAGAAGAAATGATGAAGTATAATGCTATCCTCGTAAATAACATATGTACTGGTAATGATTATCATTTTAAAATGTATCTTTGACAAAACTACATAGATAACAAACAATATGTTGAAATAATCAATTTCAGTAATCAAAATGACTGGCATTGTTAATACAATAGAGCATGGCTTAGGAGAAAGGTTATTTATCCTGTCTGCTATAATAATTATTAATATAAATGGAAATCATTACCTCCTTAAATTGTCTTTATTATATTGGTGCGTGTACTTGAATTTAGTTTTAATGACAATTAAAGTAGCTAAGTCTCTAACTCAATATCATCCAAAATCTTCAACATTGAAAACACAAATTATTTGTCAATTTAAATCAACATTGATGCTGTGATCTTACCGGAAAAAGATGGGCTTCTGATATCCAATATTTAAGACAAAATAAACATTTTGCCATTGGTACACGAATCGTGTACCATAATGCGTTTCAGCCCAGTTCTAGCAAGAGACTCGAGGAATGAGGCTAGACATATTGCACCAAACCAAACGGCGTATGTAGACTGGAATAACCAGGCGCTAGAAATTTGCATTCGATTGAGACTGCGGGCTTATTTCGCGGAACATAACTGATTTGAAATTAGAGTAAAAACGGAAACCATTGAATGTATATCAGTTTATATGTCTAGGTCCCAAATATTAGCAATTTAGCTCCTTTAAAGTTAGTTATTATCTTACTGAACATTTCTGAAAATATTTTTTTTACTTGGGAAAGTTTCTCAGAGGATTTCTATTTATTTCTGGGTAAAAAAGCTTAATACAAGATTGTCCATTTGTTTGAGTTGTTTGTGCTAATCCTGAAAATATATAATGAAAACAATGGGGCTTGGTCAATCATTAAGGATGTCAATTAGTTATGGTTATCGTCATTAGAATATATTTTCTAGATAAAGAAAAACGAAAGAGTTCTATCTACTCATATTCTCACTTTAATTTAGTGAATAAATATTTTTCAAATTACAGTTTGGTGATATATTCTCTACTCCAAAATGGGATTCTATAAAACCATACAGACGAGACACAGGTACTGTAACCAAATTATTACATACAGATGGAAATATGATGAAACATATACGCATACATCATAAAGCTTTTTAATGATATGTCAATAGTGATATTACTACAAAGCTACCACATAGTAATTATGGTGAAAATAGTATTTTGTCTGACATATGTATTAAAATAGCAATAGATAAATTAAAAAGGGGGATTTTAAAAATCTTCACAACTTTTTAAATTTGTCTTCTGCATGTATGCAGAGACATACTGGTTTCAAAGGCAAGCTTTCAAATGATGTAGTAGAGCACCTATATAAAAAGTTTTTCTTAGTAACTGTACTGTGCTGATTTACATATATATGTAGTTCATTTAAATTTTAAAATTCAATAGTAGGTAGAAGAATAAGCACAGCTTGTAACAGCACCTTAAAATGACTATACCTCTTTTGGGTGGGGGGGGGGGCAGTAATGTGTTGATTTGTATTGTGAAGATGGTATCTGTCTACATATAGAATTTTAAGTCCACAGATAGAGTTGACATTGAGGTATAACTGATTTTGTCTCCCACTGTCGACAAATGAAAATATAACTTAGCAAGCAATCCGCTACATATAGAATTTTAAGTCCACAGATAGAGTTGACATTGAGGTATAACTGATTTTGTCTCCCACTGTCGACAAATGAAAATATAACTTAGCAAGCAATCCGCTTAAAATTTTGAAACAAACATTTTTCGTATACCTTTAGAATTTGTCCAATCATAAATCAAAATAACAGATTAGCTAAAGCAATTCAGCCTTATATTTTGACATAAATCGAAACAGGATTAGCTCCTTAATAGTATCTATATTAATATCTGTTAAATCTACATTATTTTTATATTTTTACATATTAAAGACTTTGGTTCCAAAGGTAAATGTCGTAATTATAGAAAGAACCCTTGTAATAGTAAGTGCAAGGAGACTGCACCACACACAAGCAATTACACAAGACAAATTTACAGACAAGACACAATACGCAGAAATCACAAACAACCGTACATATCAGTTTTGTTTCTTTTTTAGATCTAGATGCAGAAGTTGCTGAAAAGAGTGTTAGTAAGATATTTGAAGAATCAAAATCAAGGGATTCTTATGGTTCACCAATGAAAATTTACTCAAAAAGTAATAGCAAATCATATTCATCGTACAGAGGACCAGATGGGGTAAGTCTTTCAAATCTCAATTTTACCAACACAAATGATTAAAATTTGACAAACATGAATGAATGAAATTTTACAAACATGAATGAATAAAATTTGACAAACATGAATGAATAAAATTTGACAAACATGAATGATTAAATGATTAAAATTTTACAAACATGAATAATTCAAACATACATGAACGGTTAAACATTTACAGACTTGAACAATTAAAATTTTACATACATAAATGATTAAAACATACTTGAATGATTAAACATGTACAGGCATGAACGATTAAAATTTTACAGACATAAATGATTAAAATTTTAAACCAATTATCAAGGTGCTAAAGAATCTGTTTGGTCAAACGTATTTCTCAGAAAAAATGTGTATAAATTAAATGGTCAGGTATTCATTTTTCCAGTTTGAAAAAGTTGAGAAACGCAGGTCAGTGAAGAACCCTGATGGAAGTGAAGAGACGATTGTTTCTCGTCAACTTGGAGATAAATCTCACACTATTATTTCCAAAAAAGATAAATATGGCCATCGGGAAACAGATGAAAAATTGGATAATCTGTATGGAGGTTAGTGTAATCAGAATCCTTCAGTTGGTATTCTCAATGGAGGTACATTTACAATACTTAACTACCATTTGGGACCAAAAAAAATTGTCTGTTTCTTGAATTTGTTGATTTTTTGTGGGATGACATTCATGACAAATAACAAATCAGACCAACTGAATTCAATATTTGTTTTTGAGTTAAATGTAAATTAAAGAGGTTTAATTCCTTCAAGAAGTCATTTATTTGATTTGTATGGCATTTTCTTATCACAGACAAGTTATAAGAAATTAGTTGAAACAAGTATTATGTGTAGCTGAATCTTTACGTTGTAAGGGAAATAACTCTTAATTGTTTTGAAGATGGGTTTTAATGACATTGGCAATATTGGATAATTCTCTCGCTATTGACGTCAATGCCATTTCTTGGTCTATAACCATGTTTTGACTTTACAATCATGTTAATGTTTATAACCACAAAGAACAGGATATGATCAAATATTTTGAAGCTAGTTAAACATCTTGATTTTTATAGGTTGAGACAATATTTTTGAATGAGATTTCTCTATAGAGACTCTATGACATGTCTGTTTACCTCCTGATCCTTCCACCTCAAAATCGTAAATACTCACCTAAACCTGGTAGAAAATGGAAATTCAAACATCCTTCCTTGATTCTAAACCAAATAGTAACATGCAAAAGGGGGAAAAAAGGGTGAACTGCTACAATTAGTTGAACTACTCATGAAATCAGGGGAAAGAATTACCAGACTTAGTAATATATATAAAATGAAAATCCCCAGTAATCCTTCCCTTCAATGTGAATGTTATACAGGTAGTTTATTATAATAGAAAACATTGCTAAATCATGGCTTGAGTTACAACAAACAGTAGAAAGCACTATATTAAACTTCTACTAAATTCAGAGTTCTTTTTAGTTTTATGATGTTTAAATCAGGTACAGCATCAACGGAACGTAAAACCCTATTCCATTAAATCACCTAATCTGGCATTAGTTGTTGTTCAATGTTAAATTTTATTTATATTCCCATTTCAGGGGACGTTCCAGAATTTCAACGAGAATGGAATAACACTAACAGAAAAGCTGATGACATAACAAGGGAAGCCTTGGCACCATTCAAAGATGATCGTTCCTACTTCCGAAAATTCCTTGGCATCCGTTGATGATTTCAAAATTTCAGAATCAAAGCTCAAATGATTCAAATGTTTGCATAGTTTTATAACAATTATGTTTTGTTTGGTGTAGTAAACTATTTTATCATTTGATAATTATTTTCTGTGATATTTTTGTTATATAATAGATTACTGTTAGACATTAGAATTATTGTGTGTTTTCCTATTTTAATTTTCATACCAAGAAAGGACAAATTATAGCTATAAACAAATGGTTATTCTATGATAATCTCCACAACTAAAAATCAAATTCTTGTTTACAAACGAGTGTTTTAGGGAATAAAAAATATATTCTATGTCGGTATTTGAATGTTATACAATTTTACATGCTTTTTATGTTGTTTTCTAATATAAAACCACTGTTATGTACATTTAGATTGGTCAATAAAAGTAACAGTTAAGTTCAACAGTTTAGTGAATTTAAGTTTTGATGTTTAATGGATTACATGTGTGTAGATAATTGGTGAACATATAATAATACTACATCATCTAGTTAGCAAGTTTTGAAAAATATTTTTGTTTGATCTTTGAATTATTTTCTTGAAATAAAAAATCAGAACGTCTGTACTGGATATTTTAGGAACTGTATATTATTTTAAGTATCTTTTGAACTTTCTTTTTCTGGAATATGCAAACTAGACTATTATGCACTTAGAAACACTCATGTGTAATGAAGCGCTATATAAATCGAATAATAATATTATTAGCCTTTTAAGGCGGTTTGGATTACAATTGTTTAACTTTATTTCAGTGAAGTTGTTGTCACAATTTTCTTGTGTTATTTGTTTCTTTTTTATATGTGATTATGTATTATTTAGATATTCCCTATTAGCTTAGCTTTTAAAGGTTTATCATTGTCAGTTGTGATATGTTAGAGGTGTATTATTAACTTGCAGAATATATTTTTAATAATAAAAGTACCAAAAATAAAGTCTTTATTTCTCATCTACGATCCTGGTCAATTAATACACCCACCTTATTGCTTTTTATACGCCCACATGGAAATGTGAAACTTCCAATCAGTAGAAACAGGAAACACAAACCAAATACAGACGGTTTGATGGGATCAATTTTGACTGAGTCAAAATGATGCATTTGATATTCAGATAAGTTGATATAAAATTTAGTTCTTCATCCCTGAAGAAGTTAGTATTTTTACTTGGTATTTGGATAAAACGATGGTTTTTTGATATTGTATTCTATTAATTATTTTACATGGAAATGTGGTCGTATATTGCCTTCGCCCCCGTCCGTCGTCCACAATTTCTTGTGAACACTCTACAGACTACATTTATTATCTGATTGTTTTGAAATTGATATATGTTGTTTGCATTAGTGAGATGAAGAATCCTATTTAATTCGAATAACTTCCGTTAATTTCGTCTGGAGATATGGCCCTTGTTTCACTTTGTTGCACCTTGTGAATGCTCTAACGACAAAAGTTATCAACCGATCTGTATGAAATTTATATGCATCATTTAAATTAGTAAAACAAAGAAGTCTATTGAATTTCAGCAATTTCCGTTAATTACATCTAGAGTTATGGCCCTTGTTTCACTTTGGTGCTTCTTGTGAACGCTCTAACAACAAAAGTTATCAACCGATCTGTATGAAATTTATATGCATCATTTAAATTAGTAAAACGAAGAAACCTATTGAATTTCAGCAATTTCCGTTAATTACAGTTAGTTTTATGGCCCTTGTTTCACTTTGTTGAATCATGTGAACGCTCTAATGACAACAGTTATCATCCGATCTGTTTGAAATTGATATGCACCATTTAAATTAGTAAAACGAAGAATCCTATTGAATTTCAGCAATTTCCTTTAATTACGCCGTGAGTTATGGCCCTTGTTTCACTTTGTTGTACCTTGTTTATGCTCTAACGACAAAAGTTATTATCCGATCTGTATCAAATTTATGTGCATCATTTAGATTAGTAAAACAAAGAAGCTTATTGAATTTCAGCAAATTCCGTTAATTACATCTAGAGTTATGGCCCTTGTTTCACTTTGTTGAATCTTTTGAACGCTCTAATGACAACAGTTATCAACCGATCTGTTTGAAATTGCTATGCATCATTTAAATTAGTGCAACAAAGATGCCTATTGAATTTCAACAATTTCCGTTAATTACACCATGAGTAATGGCCCTTTTTTCACTTTGTTGTACCTTGTGAATGCTTTAACGACAAAAGTTATTATCCAATCTGTATGAAATTTATAGGTATCGTTTAAATTAGTAAAACGAACAAGCCTATTGAGTTTCAGCAAATTTCAGTTAATTACACCTAGAGTTATGGCCCTTGTTTCACATTGTTGAATCTTGTGAACGCTTGAACGACAAAAGTTATCATCCAATCTTTATGAAATTCATATGCATCATTTAAATTAGTGAAATGAAGAAGCCTATTGAATGTCAGCAATTTCTTTCAATTACTTCTAGAGTTATGGCCCTTGTTTTACTTTGTTGAACCTTGTGAACGTTCGAACGACAAAAGTTATCATCCGATCTGTATGAAATTAATATGTATTATTTGAATTAGTAAAACGAAAAAGTCTGTCGAATTTCAACAATTTCTGTAGATTACTTCCAGAGTTACAGCCCTTCTTTTAGTTTTTAGAACCTTGTGAACCCGACGAAAATTATAATGTCATCTGTATGAAATTGTCTATTAAATGCCCCCTAATTACCTACAAAAGAACAAATATACGACAACTCTTGTCGACCGCTCGGACGATTTAGCTGCTGTGGGCGTTATGTTTAGTTGCCTGGCAACCCATCTTTATGTGTGCCTTCTCTTGTAGGTTTTGAGGAGAACTATGGTCAACAAATTTAAAGTCGAGTGAAAACAAGATAGATCTAAGAGTTGCATAATGGTCTATACGTAATCATTGAACAAATTAATAAAACAAATTATTATTACTGCATGAGATCTATCAAGGGACAAATGGCCCCCAATTTCCATTTTCAATGGCTTTCTATATTCAGTATTTGTACTGTACATGTAATATCTTTAAGATATTTTTATGTTGAGCGGATACTGGAAAAGAATCATATATTTTTAAGGAAGGCGCTTACCAAAGTTCTGGGGTTGATCCCGGTGTTGCCGAGTCTAGTCATTTGGATGGTAAAAAAACCAGCATCACCTGTACATTTTGTAGTACATGTATGATGTAAAAGAACCCTTAGCAGTTGGAAATCTAGTTCATTGCAATCAGTAGATAATTACGGTCTCTGTAAATGTGTGGTAACCTGATATCTCCGGAAATACATCTATTTGCTGCATTATTCTACCATTCCTCTATAACGATAGGTCTATTGTCTAAACTATAACACTGACCAAATCATATACCTGCTGTCTAAACTATAACACTGATCAGATCATATACCTACTGTCTAAAAGATCATCAGAATATTAAGAAAGAAAATGTTTTAGGCCAAAAAATGTCATGGATTTATTTAACATTGAAGTCAATGCGGGAATATAAATATTCGTCTGACTCCATAATAAGTAGGATAAGAGTTGTCTTTGTTGCTTTTATCTTCTATAAATTACTTACCCCTACGCACCCCCCCCCCCCATCCGCCTTCCGAAGAAAGCAACGGACTATCTGTCTGCCCGTCACACTTTTTGGGACACAATAACTCTATTTCTAATTGAGCTAGAATGTTCAGGTGTTCAGGTGTAGGTGTTTATTAGGTCAATGCCTTGATGGAGTTTGAAGATAAACATTTTCCGCTTAGGGTAAGCAGAGATAAGCAATTTGATTGGTTGATGCTTTGGGTCACAATAACTTTAGTTCTAATTAAGTGAGAGTGATGAAACTTGGTGTATAGTTTCATTACATCATGACCTTGACTAAGTTCGATAATGAGCATTTTCTGCTCAGGGTAAGCAGAGCGATAAGCAATTTGATTGGTCGAGACTTTGGATCACAATAACTCTACTTTTAATTGAGCTAGAACGTTCATAGCCACGAGAACGTAACTAAAAACGCTGAGATATATACTGATGTGCTTGTTTTTAGCTACGATTGGTTGCCTTTGGTTCCAAGTGGCAAACTCAATTTCTTTATTAATGCATTTACCATCTTAAAAATAAGTTAATTAGTACTTAGTACTTATTAGTACTTATTACGCATATGCAGTCTAATCTACTGAAACAACATTCATTTATCAGCAAATATTGACAATAAAGTAAATCAAGCAATGTTTTTATCAAAATTGATTCGGACGTTCATAATACGGCGTTACTATTGCGCAACTCTGATCAGAGTACTTTGATTGGCTATTGCACACGAGGCCGCGCCTTTATGTGTTACAGACGTAAATTTAAAATGTCGGAAAAAGCAATCTATACTGTCGCTTTGATTTAAAAAGAGGGGATTTGTACCCGTTTCAGGTAGGATTATATGCTTAATTGTAGTTGGGTGTGGCAGAAATATTATAAATAACAATAATGAATCGTTGTTTTGATTAAAAATATTGTCAATTTTGTTTACAAATGCCGGGTGCGAATCGCTCCCGCATGTGCTACATTGACGCCAATAGCACCAATTCGTATCTCGAAACAACGGATGGGTGGAGAGATAATTTAAGGTTTGTTATCTAGAACGTTCAAACTTGGTGTTGGTGTTTATTAGGCCAATGTCTTGATGGAGTTCGAAGATAGGGCATTTTCTGTTTGGGGTAACAGCAAGCAATCTGATTAGTTGATGCTTTGAGGCCAATAACTTTGGTTTTAATTAAGTGAGAGTGATGAAACTCCGAGTATAGATTTATTATATCATTACCCTGAGCACGTTTGATGATGAAAGTGTTCTGCTTAGGCTAAGGATCGATAAGCAATTTGATTGGTCAAGACTTTGGAACATAACAACTCTGCTTTTAATTGAGGTAGAATGTTTAAACTTCTTTAACTTGATGTTGATGTTCATTGGGTAAATGTCTTGACTAAGTTCAATGATAAACATTTCGACCTAAAGCTAAGCAGAGATAAGCAATTTGATTGTTTGATGCTTTGGGACACGATAATCTTGATTCTATCTGATAAAGAGTGGTGAAACTATATATATAGTGTACCGGGTATAGTTTGATTGCTTGATACTTTTGAAAAAAATAAATGTGCGATAAATTAATATGTGTCATCTATTTATTTTGGGATTTCGGCGGGGGGCATCAGCCTCACTGTTGGCTTGTTTATCAGAAAAAGAGTTAGAGACCATCTCATCTAGTATAAAAAGAAAGAAAAAACTCTACGCATTTTAGGAATTTAATTTACAGAAAATATAAAGTTAATGTGGCGCATTATATGTCCAGCAGGACCCTGCGCTGAATATCCACAGATAACTAGTACCGATATCATTTCAGTTATAAATATTAGGGAGAAACTGTTATAGTATAAATCTATGGGAGAACGCTAAATCGGAGACGGTCCTGCACATTTTAGCACGACGTCATATTATGTGGATTGTGATTAGAACTTGCAGATTTCGTCAAAATCTCGAGATGTAAACAGGGCTAGCGCTAACTCTAACCCTGGACCAAGCTTAACCCTTACCCACAGAACTGTACTAGAATACAATCAATATATGCCTTACCCATGGCCTTTCCCTAACGCACAATCCACATAATATGACGCCATATGTGCAGGACCGTCTCCGATCTAGTGTTCTCCAATTATCGGCCGAGCGGAAATATACTGCGGATCAGTTTGAGAACGACCGGATACAGATGAGTTTGGGGAAAATCAAAATTAGTTTTAACATAATTAAGGCACAGTAAAATCGAAACTATTAATTAAATTGTACAAACTAGTAGTAAATTCTTGAAATTATATTTTGACCTATGGAAATTGAATAAAACATTATTATTGTTATCACTGCAGATCTATTATCAACCTTATCCCTTATGTTTTATAATTTCTTCATCCGTTTTATTTCTGTCTCAGATTCAGAATACACAATATGTATGAACCATAGCAGACACCACATTTTCTATGTAAAACAGGTTAGAATGGCGAAGAAATCAATGAAAAAAACGAGTTCCTTAGGCCTAGTAGAGAATAAACAGAAATCTCAAGAAACGCCCGAAGATGAAATTACGACAAAAAGATCATTGGATGTGGCAGAACAAGCTTCGGCTACTGTCCGAGAATTGAATAATGTGGTAAGTTGAAAGCTGGATAAACTGTTCCAGAACTTCCACTACCGGTATTCTTATTCTAGGCCTATCAACACAAGTTCACCAAGTGGTGCAGTACGTTGATCCGGCTACTTAGGGTTAGGGATAGGGTTAGTAGTGGAAATAAAAAGTAGCCGGGTCAACGTACTAGGTCATTGAAGTGAAGCGTAACTTTGCCGTAACAATGCCGAAACCAGTGATTCTCAACCAGTGTGCTGTGTTGCGAAATTTTGAACGGCACACTAAGAAAATGCAAAAAACCACATGACTCAATTGAGTATTTACTGGTGTCTACTGTTAAGTTCATAACTGTGTTTTTCTTTATTGTCCCCCGCCTTTCAAAGAAACCAGGGCCGGGGGGGGGGGGGGGACTATTAAAATGGGTTCGTCCTTCTGTCTGTCCATTAGTCACACTTTTTGGGACACAATAACTCTCTTTCTTATTGAGCTAAAATGTTCAAACTTTGTGTAGGTATTTATTAGGTCAATGCCTTGATGGAGTTCGAAGATGAGCATTTTCTGCTTAGGGTAAGCATAGATAAGCAATTTGATTGGTTGATGCTTTGGGACACATTAACTTTAGTTCTAATTAAGTGAGAGAGATGAAATTTGGTGTATAGTTTCATTACATCAATACCGTGACTGAGTTCGATAATGAGCATTTTCTGCTCAGGGTAAGCAGAGCGACAATCTGGTTAAAACACAGATCTTATTTCGTTTCGTTTTCATAGTTCAAAATTTCGTTTTACTTGTCTTTACTACACTAGGATCTGGAAGAGTTGTTATTTAACTCGTGTTCTGAATGGTGTTAGGGATAAGCCAATGAAACGGTCTGTTACGGCTAGCTTTATGCATGTTTTTCACGGAACTATGGGTAATCCACTAGTAACATCAATGCTGATTGGTTAATCAAATGTCTGATGTCATAAGGTCAAAAGTCGGTCTTTTGACCCCTGACATGACCTATCGCTATAACTTGTCAGATCTTCATGTCTGCGATATCACCTCGGTGGAAGCGGACGTAAAATACAACTAACTCATCATGTAGTGGAGGCCATCGAAAGTATAAAAAAACGAAACAAAATATAGATCTGTATTTTAATCAGATTGGCAGAGCGATAAGCAGTTTGATTGGCGGAGACTTTGGAACACAATAACTCTCTGTCTAATTGAGCTAGAATGTTCAAACGTTGTGTATGTGTTTATTACTATATTAGGTCAATGCCTTGATGGAGTTTGAAGATGGGCATTGTCTGCTTAGGGTAAGCAGAGATAAGCAATTTGATTGGTTGATGCTTTGGGACACGATAATCTTGATTCTATCTGATAGAGAGTGATGAAACTTAGTGTATAGTTTGATTGCTCGATGCGTTTGAAAAAAATAAATGTGCGATTAATTAATATGTGTTATTCGTTTATTTAGGGATTTCGGCGAGGGACATCCGCCTCACTGTTGGCTTGTTAAGTTTGAAATATTCTATGTGTCTATGACTAGTCTGTGTCTACGGTTGTATGCCGTCTATGACTTGCCATGTTTTTATTTTGCGAAATTCAAATATTTTTCATATATATTTAGCCAGGTGTGCCGCTATTTTTTCATGTGTTCCAAGGTGTGCCGATAGCAAAAAAAGGTTGAGAACCACTGACCTAAACCTTTGTAGCTAGAAGCAGCAACAGAAAGCTACTGTCTTCATGCATCGATTACTAAACGCTTATAATAATGAGAAAATGTAATTCTGCAGTGGATTTTAATTTATACAAAGTTTATAGTTTATTTGCTAAATTGCTTTGGTATGCTATAGGCCTAGTATGTGTCTCATGTGTTGGCAAAAGTGATCCTGAACCAGGTCCAGACTACATCATCATGACACATACATACTTGATGTATAGCTAGAAGAACGTAGCGAAAAACGTTGAGGTGTTTGTGTTTAGGTACGATTGGATGCCTTTACATTATATATAGTTTCACCTAGCAAACTTACTAGCATGTAACGTAACATCTTAAAAATAAGTTAATTTTATATACTAGCCTTTTTTAGGTTAGGACTAATTAAACACACCCGGCCCAATGTAGTGAAACAACTTGTGTTTATCTGAAAATATTGTCAGTAAAGTTAAAAGCGTTGTTTTTAACAAAATTGATGCGGCCATTCATAATTACATTAGTGTTATGTGCGACCCTTAAAGGTTCTCTACTAAGTCGGGGGGTTGGATGGCCGAATGGTTAGCAGTGCACGTTGCATCATAAAGTCTGTCATTGAGTCAACTGGCGTGGTTTCGATTCCTCGGTTGTACGTGACAAGGAGTAGGGTCGCCTGTCCAGTCTTGTGAGTTTTATCCGTGGCCTCCGGTTTCCTCCCACTGCTAATGACCCCTACCCAACAAGCGAATTATAGAATTAAAATATTGTCAGTAAAGTTAAAAGCATTGTTTTTAACAAAATTGATGCGGCCATTCATAATTACATTAGTGTTATGTGCGACCCTTAAAGGTTCTCTACTAAGTCTGGGGGTTGGATGGCCGAATGGTTAGTTAGCAGTGCACGTTGCATCATAAAGTCTGTCATTGAGTCAACTGGCGTGGTTTCGATTCCCCGGTTGTATGTGACAAGGAGTAGGGTCGCCTGTCCAGTCTTGTGAGTTTTATCCGTGGCCTCTGGTTTCCTCCCACTGCTAATGACCCCTACACAACAAGCGAATTATAGAATTAAATTTGAACCATGTGTTAGTCCCAAAATGACCTAGTTTGTGTGGATTGGACATTAAACCATATCTCTCTCTCTCTCTCTCTCTCTACCTCTAACTCTACTAAGTCTCATATTTTGATTTGCTGTTGAATACAACATATATATAGCCCCGCCTTCATGACATTAACACCTCAAACCTATTCTGTTTTAAAATGTCGGGGATAGCCAGCTTTTAACGCTTCTATGTAAAAGGGAATTGTACCCATGTCATGTAGAATGATTATATACCTAATTGTAGTTGGATGTGGCAGAAATGTACATTTGTAATAAATAACAATAATCAATTGTGATTTTGATTCTTGAAGCAAAAATTGACAGTTTTGCTTATTGAAGTACTAAGTGGTTCAGATCGTGGTTCAGCCAGAAGGAACTATGTAGTACCATCTCTTATCTTGTGACAGGCAGGGTCGGGAGATGGGGGTTTGTTTTCTAGGTCCAGGCCTGCTTTATGACTACTTTTTCTCGTGTGTGGTGGGATAGGTCACTGGGACTGGGATATGATTGCTTATTGCAAGACAGGTTGTAAATATGATAGAAATGTTATAGAATTGCAATTTTAAACATGAGATATCTACCTGTTAATACAAGCTGACTCAATATTTTCTATCGCATAGGGTGAAACTTGTACACAATAATAGTACAAAATGGAGATGTTACATGTAATTCATATTTATTTACTTTTATTTTAGATACTGAAACTGAAGCCTTTGGTAAAAGTAGCAAAGGCCAGAACTATACAAAAATTAGTTCGACAAATCCAGAAACTAAAAAAAGTGAAGTGAGTAAAATGCAACACGCTTAAAACAAAATATTCTTTTATTGTGCTGTGTTATAGTATTTTGGCTACTGTAGTACTAGTGCTCCTACGGTTAGGAATTTTTGTTATTCGAATAACCATAGCTATTAACTGGTTAATAACCGTTTTAACTGTATTGTATCAATTTTAAACATAAAACAGAGCTTGTCAGGAGGTGCGAGTCATTACTCGTGCCCAGCTATACTCGCCCAAATAGCATTACACGCGCAAAAATTTCAGGAATTTTTTCATAGAAATGTACAATTCTTTAGTGAAAATGTAAACTATCTAAGGCCGTAGTTATTTGTTTACCTGGTTAACTTGGTTCATTTGAAACATTTTTTAATTCAATATATATCTACGATAATATACAAAACAATACTCTGTTTCCCTTCGTACGTGACATATGGCGATAATATTACGATTACACAATGTTATTAAGATTAAGAATAGAATAAAGTAAATTGGAAGGCGTCTATTGATTGGACAATAAAGAAATAATTCCTTGCCTGCAAGTAGAATTTTTATGATTGGTTAATTTAACTAAAATCCAAAGTAGAATTCTCGCGAGACTTCGATGAGTGCTATAGGAGCTTTTATGTGTTTCCCTTTTGACGTCATTTTCGGTCATGGCCTTATTCGTAGACTGAAACCCATAGGCCAATGGTTTTTTTTTGGATAAAATACTGTCGTATAGTAAGCTTGTTTTACATAAAATGGAACCGATTGTCATTTCTACATATGTGTAGGTTTACCGACCGATGCCAGAAACGATATTTACAAACACTTCGATGTAGAAAAAGATACAGCAAGTTTACCAGACCCGTAATGGCCGTATGCAATTGAGGAAAACAAGTGGATGACTGATCTGTGCTCATGGCCTGAACTAGAAATTTTTATCTAATAATTACAGGACTACATGTATTAACACAAAAGATTTAAATGGTCTTTACATTCAACTTCCGACTGGACAGTACGTGCGAGGTTGATGATATATCGTCTGCTTTTGCGCTGCATGCTACACTCTTCAAAAAACATGGTACTATGCTGGTCCTTGCGGCTATCGACTTAAAATAATTTCAGCTAATAATACTATAAATAGTATGCAATATGCAAATAAGATTGTTTATGCGTGCTGTTAGCCAATAGCTACTGTAAATTTCCCCACGTTTAGACGGCTCTAACAAATGATTAAATAGTTGTTTGATGCACAGAGTAAGATTTCAGCCATTTTTATAAAATTTCCCCTTGATGGATTACGAATAACAGAAAGAATAAAACTATGATCAAGTTGAATCTGTGAATAATTTTTAAAACCTTTCTTTCTTATGTAACCACATAAATCGTCTTGGCTCAACTTTTGACAGTCAGTTTATCTCCACTGTCGCAACCAAGAATGAAGAACGATACATTTGTGTCCATTTTATCAATTTCTAATTCAGTATTAGGTTCAGAGAAAAACTGTTGAATGCAAATATATAACTGGACTCGGTGCATTCTATACAGAATTTTTTTTTACAGCGTGATTATTATTTGTTCTTTTTTTTTAGATGTGCTATGGTCGTGCTTAAATTTTAATATCGTCTTGAATAATTCTTTCGTGGAACCGCAGCGTCACCACTCTAACCCATTTAATTATTTACGCTATGCTCTATTTCGTGGCATTTTACAACCAAACAGATGTTATCTATTAATTGTTTGCAGTAAAAAATTAACACACAACACATAAATCGGCTTCATACAGCAATGCATCTTTGTTTATGCTTTTGCGTACAGCGGTCAACTGGACTGAATGCGGGCTTGGCATATATTGTCTGTTACAACGCAGTATATCGTCAATAAAATTTAAAAAAAATAATTTAGACATGATTTAAAATTGGTAATTTATTACAAATGCTACTTGCATATTACAACAAGAGTGGCATTCAAGAATACGTTATTAAAAGAAAAAGACTAAATAACCCGTTTTACTTTAGCATTTACCATGTTAAGATACGTGAAAAAAAGAGACCAGGCTAAAAATAGACACCGGAAGTACGTCACACGTAAAAGCTCCTATTAATAGTATTATTTTCTAGCAGTCGACATCGTAGGACGACTGTTCCATTCCAAGATTTTCAAACATCAAATACAAAATGACAACTGGCAAGTTTTGTTATAAAGAGGAATATAATTAGACACAACTCTATGTAATGGGGGACATCTCCGAATAACTGTACTGTTGAATTTGAACTGTTCAACCGTCCAGTTCTAACCGTTTACGGCTATTCGACTAGCTGTAGGAGCACTATTGGCTACTAGCACCCTGCAAATTGACTAATTTACAGCACTATCTTCTCCCCCAGTATAATATAAAAACAAAGAAATGGTCAAAGTGAGTGAAAAAGCTCTTCACAATGACATAAAAAACCCCAACAACAACCAATTGACGAATTAATGAAGTACCGGTATCTAAATAAACCAAATATCAAGATATACTATTCAAAAAAAGTAGGGGATATTTGATTTTTAAGTGTTATTAAAGTCACCTAATGAAACTGACGAAGAAACAAATGACAAAATGAAATGAAGTTCACATTCATCGATTTATTCCAAATGATCGTTAGACTAAGTAAGGCAAAGACTGACCATTATAAGGGTAAAATGATACCCGGGGTCAAACAGCAAAGTTACCACAGCATCACAACCAAGTCAGTAACGGGTAAATCCTCCTCTGTTTGCCAAACAAGCATTGATCCGACGTGGCATACTCCTAATGAGACGTCTATGGTCATTTTGGTCCAGATTGTCCCATTCCTGTTGCAACGCAGCAGCAAGTTCTTGGACATTGGCAGGACGTTGTTGACGTTGACGTTACCTCTGTCCAAGCATGTCCCAGACATGCTCGATGGGGGAGAGGTCGGGACTCAGTGCTGGCCAAGGTAATGTGGTGATGTTCTGTTGTTGGAGGTAACCTGTAACGATCCTGGCCCTGTGACATCTTGCGTTGTCATCCTGGAAGATGAAACGGCGGCCATGACGTCGTGCGAACGGCACAACATGAACTGCCAAGATGTTGTCCCGGTAGTACTGGCCTGTAACACGCCCTGCAACAACATGTAAAGCCGTTCTTCCAGCAACAGTGATGCCTCCCCACACCATAACAGAACCACCCCCAAATCGATCATGTCTGATGACGTTAACGTCTTCGAAGCGCTCGTTTCGACGACGCCACACCCTCCTACGTCTGTCCAAAAAATCAACAGTGAACCTTGACTCATCTGAAAACATCACATTGCTCCAGCGTCGATTATCCCAGTGTTGACGATCCCTACACCAACGACGTCTTGCCTGAATGTGATGATCTCTCAAACAAGGGATCACGCAGGGATGTCGGGCGCGAAGGTGACCCCTATGCAGTCGATTCCGAATCGTCTGGCCACTCACTCTCACACCAGTGTCTGTTTGAAGACGAGCGCTGATCTGATTTGCTGTGATGACACGATTTCTCAAGACCAAGGTACGGATAAATCGATCCTGGGCTTGAGTTGTCGCCCTTGGTCGACCTGAGCGTGGTCTGTCCTGTACAGATTGTGTATCACGGTACCTGGACCATAGCCTGCTTATGACAGACTGAGAAACATTCATCGTCCGCGCCACAACCGCCTGTGTTGTGCCGATCTGTAGCATGCCAAGGGCACGTAACCTTTCATTTTGGGTAAGCCGACGCATATCAAAATTTGTTTTCTGGTCACTAAAACAATTAAACTGATGTTTCCACCCTGGAATTCAATGCCACAATGACTGTAACATTCAAAGTCAGAGTCGTGCAAATCTTGGGTTGGACCCCCATGATGATCCCAAGCATCACCTGCATTCCATGCGGTAGCTATTGGTGCGTTTGGGCGTCACATGTAACTGGAAATGTTTCTTCTGTTAGGTTCTATAGTGACTTTTTTCGTAGTCATTTGCATATTTTAGTATTATGCCCCCAAAATCAAATATCCCCTACTTTTTTTGAATAGTATAATACAAAACTGTCAGCTACGCCACAGTACATCTCTCTCATAGATAAAAGAAGTGTTTCTACATATTTGTTCAAATGAAGCAGTATGCCGTAATAACTGTCGGGCAGGAGTACATGTACCTGTAAGGATCAGATTTAGGAAATCTTAAAAAATCTTCTTCAGATTGGATATCTTTGAAATTTGAAAAATAAGATTTTTAAAATCAAGTTAATGATATTTGTTTTTACAGAGGATCAGTTGAAAATGTTGAAAAAGCTCGAAGTAAAGCTGAGAGATTGTTGGAAGAAATTTTTACCATTAAGGTATTCAATGTTTTTTCTTATCTTGCCAAAAATCCTGCCACAACTATTTTTTCCTCTCCCCTTTTATGTAAACTCTGATGTCAGAAGTCATCCATTTAACTAATCAAGATAAGAAATTTTCATTAACAAATAGTTAGGTACAATCATTTTAGCGAGACTCTTAGCACCAGTCAATTCTTTTAGTTTTAGGTTCTGTTTGTGTAAAGTCTCGAAAAATTATTGCATTAATTGAAATGTTATTGTCATGACAATACTGCTGATAATTTGTTGTTGATTTATTTCAGTCATTAGCCCAAGATCAGATAGCACAGTATGCTTTAGGAAATACAGTCAGCTTCTTCCATATCAGTAGTCAGGTATATGCTAATTATAATGCAAATTATAGAAAAGCCATTCTGTGGTAAAAATAACTAGCTGCACCAAAACATATTTAATCTATACATACATAAGAAAAAGTTTGTTTGTCTGTTTGCTATAGGAAATCAAATGGTTGAACTAATAACTTTAAAAAAACCTTCATAATAACAAGACATTTAATGGTGAGGTGTTTAATGATCAAATTAACATACCTGTTACCTTTCAAGCAGAAAGTAGCTCTCTATTCAACTCAGCTTACTGGTAAACAAATGATCAATTTTTATTGTGAATTCAGACAGAAACATACAGCACACCCAAAATAACTCTACCCATGTTTATAACAAATTAATGATTTCAATTTCAGGTTGACATTCCAGTTGAAATTAAAGCTATGACTCGTGTATCAGAAAATCCCAAAATACAGCAGTATGTAAAATCTTTTCGGGCTGAGCACCAAGACTGGGAGAAATTGGGTGATTTTATGCTGTTTAAACAGTCGGGAAGGCGTTATAAAAAAGGTGTAAATCCAAATCGTGTTGAGAGAATAAAAGCTAGTGAAGCCCTCGTAAAAACATACATTGACAAAAAATTTGCAGGTGATAAAGAAAAAATAAAAAAAGCGGAAAATATTACGGATCATGTGTTAAAGAAAAATTGTTTCAATTCAAATGTAGATCAGACTCAGAAAATTGCATCAAGTATAGATAAAAAGCAACTTCAAAATGATAAAAAACCTAAAAAAAGAAAACTATTTGCAGCGATAGCATCTTATAGTGATTCTGAAAATAGTGAGGATAAACAGGAGGATATAGTCAATCATCTGAAAACATCTGCTGACAAAATTAATAAGGAAGTGGAACTCAAATCAATACATACATCCAGTATACCAAACAAATCTATCCCACAAGATAATGCTAGTGAAACTGACAATAGCGGTAATGTGTCTTCAAATAGTGACTCGGCATCTGAAAGTGATGATAATACAAGTCTAGAAAAAGAAACTTCAGATAAAATACAAATTAAAACAAAAATCAGCAAACAAAAATTAAGTCCTGGCATTATATTCTCTCCAAAATCTACAATTAAAGTCAAAGCAACAAAACAAAAGAAACTGAAATCAAATAAATCTGAAAAGTCTGAAAAGAGTACTACAGCAAATGTTCCCGATGATGATAGTGATGAAGAATTTGTTATTAAAAAAAATATGGAAATGGTCGTGAGAAAAATTAATTGGGAAAATTTTGGGGAGGGAGGTGATTTGATTCCATTAATATTTAAAGGAAATAAAGATATTAAAAAGTCGCGAAAACATAAAAGCGATTTTTTCGAAACCAGTGACAATGAATATGAGGAAGAAAGTTCCAATGATGGTATGAAAGAAGAAACTGGAAAGAAAAGTGAAGTTGATGATGTAGTTCAAAGTGCAGAGGTTAAAGGTTATGGTAGAACTTTAATTGAAAGTGCATTTGTTAAATCACTAGGAGGTACTGTTAGAAAAACCAGACCAGACAAAATAAGTAAAGAGAAAACTAAAATGGAGATACAAATAAAAAGGTATAGTTACATATTTAAAGGAACACATGAATGTGCAGTGTATTTTATAATTCACGAATAAATTGGTTCTGTAGTTGGCAGTTTTCCCATGAAAATAATCATTTTATACCAAGATGCTTCACTATTTTTATACGTCCAAATTTTCGTGTGGACGTAAATTGTCGTCGCCCCTGTCCCCCAGGACGTCCATCCGTCCGTCCCCAATTTGTTTGTGGACACTCTACAGGTCACAATTGTTATCTGATTTTGACGAAACTTGAAATATAGGTCTATCTCCCAAAGATCTCGATTCCTTTCGATATTGGCATGTATCGGACCATAACTTCATGGATTATGGCCCCTGATTGTACGAAAAATCATGTTTTTAGCTTTGATGAAATTTGAAATGCATGTTTATAACCCAAAGATCTTGGTTCCTTTCGATAACTGACCGACATAATGGCCACCCCTTGTACGCAAATAGTGTAAAAAATATGGTATATCAAGGTTGTGGACCCTCTAGATGCCACAGTTTTTATCCGATTTGGATGAAACTTTAAATATATGTTTTTATCATAAAGATCTTTGTTCCTTTTGATAATCACACATATCGGAATGTAACTTCCTGGAATATGATCTAGAGATCACATTTTTTTTTTTATTTTAAAAACCGTTTAGATATATCACCATTCCACCATAATGAAGGTTGAATTCGAATTTCAGGAAAATCGAAATGAAACTGCCCGAGAAATTGACCGCTCTTTGTACGCAAATTGTATATAAGTATGTAATACAAAGGTTAGGGATCCTCTAGAGGTCACAATTTTTATCCGATTTTGATGAAACTTAAAACATCTCAGTTCCTTTCGATAATTGCGCATTTCAGACCATAACTTTCTGGATTATGGCCCCTTAGTTTGTTCTCTATCCATCTCTTGCAAAATGTGGGCGTATCCTGCCTGGCAGCCGCTGGTTCTTACTTGTGATGATTAATCATGTGGGTGAAAGAACACTTAAAATAGATTTTTTGACTTACTACTTGACTAGGTCACTTTGTATACATCTATATAGTTTAAATAAATGCAAGACATCTTAAGGTTCCCCTCTTCATGTAGGGTTTTGGGGCGTGTAATGGTATTCTAGAAAAGGGAGTCAAAAAGACCTAGTTTTCACCAATTGAGAGTATCAGTAGATGGATTTTATTTTTATCCATGACTATAGTTACATATCAAATATGTCAGTATATATCTAAACTGATACCAAAATTGAAATAAACATTTAACCAAGCTACAATGATGGGATAAATAAATTAGAAATTTACAAGTGCACTTAAGAATTTTAAAATGAAAATATTTTTATGTTTTCATTCTTTATGCTTAGTTAAATAATGAATTTCCTATCAATTACCTTTCAGAGAAAGGAATAGCAAAAAATCTGCCAATACACAAGTGAATGTAAATAAACAGTTTGGAAGAAACAATAAAACACAAAATACAGGTAAGATTGATTTTATCATGTATGGAAGATTTTCAAGCAGTGATTAATGTGGCATTTAAAGAGGTTCCATCACCATCTACAGCCTTTGAACTGATTATTTAAGTAACCATCTGAAATGTGTGGTGCTCTTCGATAAATATTACAGTGATGAGTGACCTGATAATATAATATAATATAGGGATCAACACTACACTAGCTAATCATGGCAGTCATACATGTACATTGTCTTTTTATGATCCATGTGCATGTCTTGGGCATCACCTGATCATTAAAAATCACAGTTTCCTCATTCCACCATATTGCTTTAGCCTGGATTATCGAAAATGAACTATGAGAGATCAGTGGAATATTGTACTTGAACATCATAATGAACATTTTAAAATGATGCGAATGTATGTTTTTCAATGCATGTTTATTCAAAGTATGAAATTCCGTGTACAGGTTGTCCAGACAAGCTAAAGGGGGATTACATTAATATAATATTGTATATTTTACAGTGATAGAGAATGTTCATCCATCTTGGGCTGCTAGTATAAAGAGGAAACAAGAACAGGGTATGATAGGAGCCTTCCAAGGAAAGAAAATTAAGTTTGATTAATAATAATAGTTAAACAACAAATTAAAATAAAGCATAGTACATTAGTTGTTATATATTTTATTTTGTCACAAATCTTAACAGGACACAAGTCGATAGAAGGAAGTCAATTCTATTTGATTACAGTCTGCCTTATTCTATTTATCCTTGATTTTCATATGATACATGTACTTTGAAAATATGAGATTAATCTGGCATACAATAAGTCGGCTTACCATGCAATAAGGGACGAATCAGGCTAGCATGCAATAAGGAATTCGCTGGATGACCATGACTTTTGTGAAATCATGCGCTCGATATGGCTAATCCGAGCCTTCAATAAGCCCAACATTTTTACTTCATAACTCCCCCTCCCCCCCTTTCGCTTCAAAGTAGGGAGTCTCGGTGGCTACGTGGGTAAGACGCTGGCTCACTAGCCTGGATGTCGCATGTATTCGATCCCTGCATTGGCCGAGAAAGTTCATCAGGATTTTCCGACTTGGTTTCACCTTGTCAGTGGTGCAGGAAGGAGGGCCTGACCAGGACAGCTGTCTAGTCATTCGGATGGGACGAAAAACCAAGGTCCCGTAAAAGATCCCTTGGCAATAATTGAGCTATGAAGAGTACATTGTACACCATATATTTATTCAATAGTGCGGCTGCCTGGGCAAAATTTCCCTTATAGCACACTGCATGCCATATGCCTGTCTTCATTTGCCCGGTCGAAGCAGAACAGTAGGACGTTAAACCCCATTTCATTTTTATACGCCCACATGGAAATGTGGTCGTATATTGCCGTCGCCCCCGTCCGTCCGTCGTCCACAATTTCTTGTGAACACTCTACAGACTACATTTATCATCTGATTGTTTTGAAATTGATATATGTTATTTGCATTAGTGAGATCGAGAAGCCTATTTAATTTCAATAACTTCCGTTAATTTCGTCTGGAGTTATGGCCCTTGTTTCACTTTGTTGCACCTTGTGAACGCTCTAACGACAAAAGTTATCAACTGATCTGTATGAAATTTATATGCATCATTTAAATTAATAAAACAAAGAAGCCTATTGAATTTCAGCAATTTCCGTTAATTACATCTAGAGTTATGGCCCTTGTTTCACTTTGTTGAATCTTGTTAACGCTCTAATGACAACCGTTATCATCCGATCTGTTTGAAATTGATATGCATCATTTTAATTAGTGAAACGAAGAAGCCTATTGAATTTGAGCAATTTCCGTTTATTACGTCGTGAGTTATGGCCCTTGTTTCACTTTGTTGTACCTTGTGAATGCTCTAATGACAACAGTTATCATCCGATCTGTTTGAAATTGACATGCATCATTTAAATTAGTGAAACGAAGAATCCTATTGAATTTCAGCAATTTCCTTTAATTACGCCGTGAGTTATTGCCCTTGTTTCACTTTGTTGTACCTTGTTTATGCTCTCAAGACAAAAGTTATTATCTGATCTGTATGAAATTTATATGCATCATTTACATTAGTAAAACAAAGAAGCTTATTGAATTTCAGCAATTTCCGTTAATTACATCTAGAGTTATAGCCCTTGTTTCACTTTGTTGAATCTTTTGAACGCTCTTATGACAACAGTTATCATCCGATCTGTTTGAAATTGATATGCATCATTTAAATTAATGCAACGAAGATGCCTATTGAATTTCCGTTGATTACACCGTGAGTAATGGCCCTTTTTTCACTTTTTTGTACCTTGTGAATGCTTTAACAACAAAAGTTATTATCCTATCTGTATGAAATTTATAGGTATCGTTTAAATTAGTAAAACGAACAAGCCTATTGAGTTTCAGCAAATTTCTGTTAATTACATCTAGAGTTATGGCCCTTGTTTCACTTTGTTGAATCTTTTGAACGCTCTTATGACAACAGTTATCATCCGATCTGTTTGAAATTGATATGCATCATTTAAATTAATGCAACGAAGATGCCTATTGAATTTCCGTTGATTACACCGTGAGTAATGGCCCTTTTTTCACTTTTTTGTACCTTGTGAATGCTTTAACAACAAAAGTTATTATCCTATCTGTATGAAATTTATAGGTATCGTTTAAATTAGTAAAACGAACAAGCCTATTGAGTTTCAGCAAATTTCCGTTAATTACATCTAGAGTTATGGCCCTTGTTTCACATTGTTGAATCTTGTGAATGCTTGAACGACAATCTGTATGAAATTCATATGCATCATTTAAATTAGTGAAATGAAGAAGCCTATTGAATGTCAGCAATTTCTGTCAATTACTTCTAGAGTTATGGCCCTTGTTTTACTTTGTTGAACCTTGTGAACGTTCGAACGACAAAAGTTAACATCTGATCTGTATGAAATTGATATGTATTTTTTGAATTAGTAAAACGAAAAAGTCTGTCGAATTTCAACAATTTCTGTAGATTACTTCGAGTTACAGCCCTTGTTTTAGTTTTTAGAACCTTGTGAACCCTCAAACCACGAAAATTATAATGTCATCTGTATGAAATTGTCTATTAAATGCCCCCTAATTACCTACAAAAGAACAAATATACGACAACTCTTGTCGACCGCTCGGACGATTTAGCTGCTCTGGGCGTATGTTTAGTTGCCTGGCAACCTATCTTTTCAAAGTATGTAAATATAAATGTGCCAGAAAATTATTTAAATATTTGAAAAGAGAAATGAATGTTCTTTTTAGTGATAAATAAAATAATAATTGGAATTCGTATTAAGACTGGTATGTTAAGGCCTACCCCCGTCATTTAATAGAGTCTTTCCCCTTGTAAGTGATGCGGGAGGGCCTGACAAGGACAACTGTCTAATCGTTTGGATGGGACGAACAAACGAGGTCCCGTGTCACAGCATGCACGTAAAAGATCCCTTGGCAGTTGGAATTCGATACAAGAGTAGGCTGTATACAGCGCCGCTTTGCGGGAAGATTTTCCCTAACTGCATGGCGTATGCCTGATTTCGTTAGCCCAGTCGAAGCAGAACAGTAGGATTTTAAACCCCATTTAATTTCATTGCATTTATCATTTTCCGAAGGTCTGTAAATATGAGTACAGCCCCCTTCTACTGACAAGGTCGATCGCGTAAATCATTAATTTCCGTCTAAGTCCGGACTCTTTTCCGTATGCAAATGAGCTTCATCGTAGATCCCATTATATGTTGTAATATGCTAAGTTCTAATATGCATTTGTCTATTATGTAAAATGCAGAACCGAGAAGTGTAATGGAAATTTGTTCCTAAGTGCAATTATAGATTATAGTTCCATTTAACCTGCATCTACTCTTTCAGTTTTGAGGAATTGAGTTAAGGTAGCTAAGTCTCTAACTCAATATCATCAAAAGTCTACGACATTGAAAACACAAATTATTTGTCAATTCGTTGTGATCTTGCCGGGAAAAGATGGGCTTCTGATATCCAATACCTAAGACAAAATAAACATTTTACTGTTGGTACACGATTCGTGTACCATAATGCGTTTCAGTGCCATTTGGAACAAGGGACTTGGAGAACGAGGCTAAACATATTCCATGAGTCATGTCAAACGCTGACGTCTATTCTTATCTGGACAGCATGCACAATAAATACTATCGGTGTAGACTGGAATAACCAGACGCTAGAGATTGTCATTCGATTGAGACTTCTGACGTATTTCGCCGAACATAACTGATTTGAAATTAGAGTAAAAACGGAAACATTTAAATTTAATCAGTTTATATACATTCATATTACATTATTATATGCATTGCAACCCATTTGTGTCAATTTCTAGGTCCCAAATATTAGCGATATAGTCCCTTTAAGTTTGACTTTCTGGAAAGTCAACTCTCATTTACTGGAGTGAAGGGCATATGACATCATTTCCTTTTTTTGCAGTGCTTTGAGATACTGAACTGAAACTTCATATTGAATAAATATTTGGTGTACAATGTACTCTTCATAGCTCAATTATTGCCAAGGGATCTTTTACGGAACGGAACCTCGGTTTTTCGTGCCATCCGAACGACTAGACAGACAGCTGTACTTGTCAGGCCCTCCTTCCTGCACCCCTGACAAGGGGCGACATCCCGACATGATACCAATCAGCCACCATAGTAAAGCCTTATTCTCTGATACTATGTGGTTGATAGTTTTTAAGATGTAGAAATACGGCTGTAATTCTGCCTCTCCGTCTAACTTTGAGCAAATAATTTTGAAATTTCTATCCGATGACGATTCTAGCTCTTCAATCGTTATGGCACCGAACCCAAAGCATGCTTTTAAAAGATCTGCCGCACTCACACGAGTGACAAATGGTCGAAGTGACATGGTTTAAAGGATTGTGTATAATTGAAGAGATGTAGGTCATTAATTTATGAAAAACCAGTATGACCAATTCTCAAGGATTGGCTAGTGATATTTACTATTTTGACATTTTAAGAAGTGTCTTTTTTGATTTTGTATCAGTATCAGGTCGCTATGGCAAACGATATATATATATATATAAATATATATATATATTATATATATATATATGTATATTTATAAAACAAAGTAATCTCTCGACTCGGGGCATGTCGATAACTGTCCTCGGTAAATTCCGATAGTTGGCTTTCGTTCCCAGCCAACCATGCTCCTCTTAATATTGGTTATTACACCTTGTTTTGGTGTATATCTCTTAATATTCATAATCTGAATGAAACAACAACGCCCATTTGTTATGACCTCTAACAGGCACCAGGCATGGTGTTTCAAATCAGTAATACATTAAAATTAGTAGTAACACGGAACCCGTGTAAGTAGCATTGTTAAATGGAAGGCCATTTTGGACGAAGCTCATGATTGGTGGATGGTAGCAATGGTAACTAGCAAACTGTTCTATACTGATGATACGAAAACCTTCCGCCGATGCGTATGCTCATAAGCAGAAACGTCTGACGTTTTGGGTTTATCACTCTTCATGTTATGTGTACATTATTTCTATATATAAAGTGAGTTTAAGATTTTAGCCGAATGTGGGTCATCCGTCCAGTATCCTTTATTTTGGGCTCTACATTTTCAGTTTTATGATGACTTGATTTTGGGGAAAATTAAACCAAGATCTACTACAGAACAGTGAAAACAATGCATTTGCTTTTTTTTAGCTGTATTTCATAGAGAACTCGAATTATAGGTTATATATTACAACAAGGTATCTCGACAGGTACAGAAATGCCCTTCCCTTATCGGACATTCGACAAATTATAATATAAGCTATAAACTGTTTCTTTCTTGTCATTTTACACTTTTTAAGTAATCTAAAGGAGTTTCAGATGGACTGCTTTCTATACCGTGTTCCGTCAGTCATTTTAAGTAATTAATTTATTACATAAAATAATTACACAATTACGGTAACCCAGAATGTCAATAATCTATTTATATAATGTGCTAGGATACTTAAGAGCAATAACGTTTTTTAGACTGGTCTTCCACCAAAAACAGTTCTCTATAAAGTCATTTTCGATTGCAAATATTAACACTAATTTCGAAATGAACATTTAGTCCATAATATGGGCGGTTGGCCGTTGGTAAATGTGTCATAATGTACATAATAGTATCATTGTTAAAGTTTAGCCTTGGTAAAAGAAATATGTAAGAATTAGAGTTTAGACATTTTTAATTTTAAAGAGACATGTAGCTAGACGGGTTTTCTTTCCAAATCACTGGTCAAGAACTGATGCAACAGTTCTGTTGTTTCTGTATCTGTCTTCTTCAACCAGACGTTTATGCACATCTATTCCCGCCATAGCATGGCTGTTAGTGGAATCGAGCATAGTGTTGTATTGTTTCAATACAATCATCTGACAAAAGCCAAATGCTATTACCCAATACAAGAGCTCAAATTCGGATTTCGAGAGTTGTTTAAATTGATAATAGCCCGTCAAAACATGGGTGGCTATAGCAACCAGATCAGGGTAAGTAGACGTTGGACATTTCTCTATTCGGACACGCATCATCTCACAGATTAAACGACTCACGTCTTATATTAGAAAAGAATAGGAAATTTCGTTAAAATCAATGATGGCATACTTTTTCAAGATGTCATTTATTGGAACTTTGGGCCTTTTCTCCGGAAGATTAAGGTTGTTGCAGTCGAGGTCATTGTTGTTGATAGACCAATCAATTATTATATTCTTGTTATCTGCTGTTGTAAAATTATTTCCTGAAATGATAAGAAACGTTCTACGAGTCTTACACAATTTATAATCTGGATGTTTTATAGTAAACAACTCATGCAAGATTTAACTTTCTTTGATATTCATCGAAAGTCTTACAAATAATTTATAATCTGAATGTCTCATGCAAGATTTAAATTTATTTGATATTCACACAGAGTAAAGAATATTCATCGCCTTAACGTGTTCATAAGATCTAGTGAGACGTGACGTCAGATGTTTTCGAAACAGGAAATATTCCGCGCATCATGCCCGACACTACCTAATGATAGATAACTGGAGCAATGGATTGGGCTATAAAATTCAGAATCCGATGACTCATTTTGGATGCCAATCCGAAATAGGTATGGCAATAACTGAACCCACCGTATTAGAAGTAAAATACAGCAATACCTGTCGAGGATTCTCAAGAGCCCATTTATTATGGCGGGGTATCCGGTTCAAAATGCAATATAGAGTAAAAAGCAGAAAGTCAACAGTAAAAAGTAGAAAATCTGAAGTAAATGGGTAAATTTTTTATCTAAAAGGGTGAAAACCTATAAATTTATGTACTTAGTCTGCAGAAACCTCAAGCTTTTCAACTTTTAATCGTCATAATTCTACTTTCATGGACATAATTTCTACTTTCTACTATCAACTTTTGACTTTCGACTTTCCGCTTTCTACTTTCTGCTGTCAACTTTTGACTTTCGACTTTCCACTTCAGATTTTCCACTCACGATTTTCTAACGCAGATTTTCTCCAATATTATGGTGGCTGATAGTGGCCATGTAATTTTTCGCCATTTTCATAACCCGACAACACGACATAACGACAGTATTAGTGAGAGCATACATCAAAGTAGACTTGGATATAGAGACTTTTGGCAAGCGTAAATTCCTGGTCCGCATCGCGTATCCGCATGGATTTTGTGTGTGACGTCATCAATGTGTGTGTATTTCTCATACGTGATACGGCACACTGATACGGCAGCACGTATCGAACAGCTTTCATACGGAAAAGTCTGTATAACATCGTCGCCTTTTTATCGCCTTTTTTGCTACTTTTATACGCTGAAATGTTGTGGCATAGCGTTTTTATGAATCTATGTGTATCCTAGAACACGAAAGTGTATATTTGATGTGATTTTAACCATAATAAAGACGTGTTTTTAATCATTATTTTTTATAAGTTTTTCCCGGAATTTTCATATTTTTCTTGTTTTTCTGCATGCTGATTGATCTACGTGCTAAATTTAGGGAGGTGTAAATGGTGTGATTCTACCGTAAGGGGTATAAACTTTCTGAAATGAGAGAGAGAGAGAAATGGGGTTTAACGTCCACTCGACACAAACTAGGTCATTTCGGGACTAAAATATTGTTTAATTTTATTTCAATAATTCGCTTGCGCGTAGGGGTCTTTAGCAGTGGGAGGAAACCGGAGGACCCGGAGAAAACCCACGAGGTTGGATTTCTGAAATGAGTGAAACCAAAAATTGCTGTCGAGTCTAGGCATTTGTGGCTAGGCACTTGACTATCACTGATGGTGATTTTGGTAGATAACCGTCGTCATGTTGCAAGAGAACTAAGCTCAGCTACTCATACGTACGCGGCGCGAACGTCTGTCAAAACTCTAAAACTACACTGACGCAACGTATCACGTATACGATACGGATACGCGATACGGATGTGAAAGATTCCGCTTGCCAAAAGTCTCTATATCCAAGTCTACTTTGATGTATGCTCTAACTAATACTGTCGTTATGTCGTGTTGTCGGGTTATGAAAATGGCGAAAAATTACATGGCCACTATCAGCCACCATAGTATTGGAGAAAATCTGCGTTAGAAAATCGTGAGTAGAAAATCTGAAGTGGAAAGTCGAGAGTCAAAAGTTGACAGTAGAAATTAGAAAGCGGAAAGTCAAAAGTCAAAAGTTGATAGAGAAAGGAGAAATTTTGTCCATGAAAGTAGAATTATGACGATTAAAAGTTGAAAAGCTTGATGTTTCTACTGATTAAGTACATAAATTTATAGGTTTTCACCCTTTTGGATAAGAATTTTCCCGTTTACATTAGATTTTCTACTTTTTACTGTTGACTTTCTGCTTTTTACTCTAGATTGCATTTTGAACCCGACACCCCGCCATACATTTATTGTTTGGATCCACTTCTAAACGATCTGATGCTGATGGTAAATCCTGTAATGTTTAGAAGTATAAAGTGTAACAATTACAAAGAAGGATTGGTTTATATAATAGTGTTAGATTATTAGATAGTATACCTTTTATGAACACGCTGGGCAGTTTTCCGGCTTCCAATTAGGGGAAACACCATGCTAATCGACGGGCAGATCTCAAGAGATTTTGAGTGTAATATTTTCTAGCAGTACCTGAAGCGTACAGTGAAATAAAGCCAATAACGATCCCAGTTCTGTTATCACCGATTACGTCAATAGTAACTTATCGGCGCCGGGTGGTCGCCCTTTTTTAAATTTCAACAAGCTGACGACACACTGGTCAATTTGACCTAAAATATAATAAATAGTCTGATACAAACTGAATTAAAAACAAACTATCTTAAAATATCACAAACATCTTTTAGAGCAGGAGCCCAGTGGGTTAACCTAGCTGAAAAGTGTACCAATGTTCTCTTATATCATATCAATGCATGTATATCTGGTATCATCAGAATGTTACTTTGCCAGGTTTCCGTAGTGGGTGTGGTATTCCACGCAGTGGCGGCAATTACATAGCGCTGTCAGGGGTAACCCACCACTAGAAATGTCTGTCAGAGTGTTTTTGTAATATCTGAAGATGTACGGTACACTGCTGTACGATTTTCATGTGGTACACTTTTGAGCTAATCTAGCCTAGTTGGGGGGCATTGCATTTTAGGCGTGGAATATCACACCGACCACCAGAAACCCGGCAGACTTACATTCTGATGATACCAAATATACATACATCGATACCATATAGGAGAAAACTGGTACACTTTTCAGCTAGGTTGCCCCACTGGGCTCCTGGTCTATTTCTATTAATTTTGAAAAATTCGGAGTATATTAATTAAAAAAAAAAAAGCAATAACTCTTATCATGCGGCATATAACAAATTGCACCTTTCTCCACCCGCCTTGTCTTTTTTCTTTAAAAAATCGCAAGAAAAGGTTTTAAAAAAAGTGTGTGTTTGCCTCGCATAAAGAATCTCAATGTAATCGTGATTTCGTAATATTAAAAATATATCATTGGTGAACTTAAAGATGGAAGCAGAAATTTAGATGTTGTACTTTCTATATAAACCCTAAATCATTTATCCATAAGATGTAGTGTATATAATTCAGACAGCTCTGTAAGAGTTTTGTTACTTCCCATGTTGTGTTATTTAGCCTGTCTCTTTACATGACCATAACCATAACAATAGCACATGGACAAAACTCCATAGTCCAGCCAAATTATTTATATTTTATCCACTAAATCTGTACCGGTGTGACAGTGTGAGATTGTTCCTGGTGTGTGATTACCGTTTAGCGCTCACACCGTTCTGGACACGGTTTGCATTGACTCCACGAATACGAATGGGATTCCCCCTAAAGATTTTCTTACGGTGAAATAGGTTTCTACACTATTTATCTACCAATATTAAATTTTACAGCATTACTATATAAGGAGTGGGTGTCGAGTTTCTATAGTTTGTTTATTTCGATAAAAAGTAGAAATACAAATTGACTAAGGCGCGGATTCACCAATAAAGTGAGCGTAGCAATTCGCTTTGATGGAAAATCTTCGGTCGCGTGACGCCAGAGTGATATTTTCCCGCGAGCATCTCCCGTATATAAACGGTAAATTCGCTTACATTTCGATAATTTTTGAGTCTGAATCTTTGCAGATATTTAGATTGATATTAAACTATTACAACAGAAGTGTTACAAATACATTTAAATAAAATAGTAATTCAGAATCGTAGATTGAAGTGGGCTATATTTCAGCCGCTGGCTGTCAGGTTTCATGCTAATGTCAAGTGACCTGAAACCCCTAATATGAGTAATAAAACAGATAGACTATATTGTGAAGTTGCAAAAATTTTAATAAGAAGTACAAAATTAAAATAACAATGATACAGAGAAATCCCGATCATATAAAGGCCAATATAAAATCTACAAAAAGAAACAACGGCAACAAATCACGAACGATAGAACTATCAATTTCAAGCCAATCAACTTAAACCGTTGATCGTGAAACTACTGGTCACTAAAACAACAGCTAATCACGATAACAAGTATGTTTATTGATGACAAAACTCTAATCAAATACGTAATAGGCCTACTTTTTCCTGAACTGATCAGTGATCAGGAACCATCCCACACCACCGGAAGTAGATATAGCTTCGTTGTTTACGCTAACAACAGTTTCGGACATGCGCAAGTGCCCAGGAGGAAACACACACCGGGAGTCAATTCAAACTGTCACACCGGTACCAATCATTTTCAAAGGATCAGAAAAGAAAATTGTAAATATCTCTATAAGCTGACAGTCACCATACAATCTTACATGTTTTATTAATGTCAATACAAAATGGTAAACGCTCATGTTAACGCGCGGTTTATTCACAACTCTTTGGGCGGGCAAACATTCTTTATTTTGGCTTGAAGTTCGTTACTTTACAGATTAACTTGTACACTCACCTTCAGCAGTAATTCTAGGAAATGGGTGATATGAGAAATACCTTGAATTCAAACCTGGAACAGACGAGGTAAGCAAAAAACTCTCTTTATTAAGACGTCCTGAACTTTGTCGATTTTAAATTGTAGATTTTGATTTTGAAACTCCTCAGTTAACAATCTTTAAAATATACCATTCTGTCGATCCATCTCTATCTTTAATGGCTACTTTAAAATTGCGATCAGCAAACGATGCAAGTTCTATGTAATTCAATGCCTTATTTCATTAAATTTCTAGTAATAAATCGTAGATCTTCTTCGATTCTAAGAATGGTCTTAGAGACATGTTATTTTATGGCGAGAACGGTAGTCACAGCAGGAGTATTATCGTTTATCACCCAATAATACATTCTACAGTAGATATCGCTTGTGTGATATATTTCATAATCTACTGCGATATCTCCTTAGGTGATATCGCTTTAAATGAATTTGATTGGTCAGTTGAAAAGGAACTACTTTTTTGATTTTCAAAGAACAGTTCATTTCTTATTAAAAGTAACTTCTTTTTTTTTTATTAAAAATGAACTATTGTTATTCAATTGACCTTGATAGAAACACTGGGTCAATATAAAGGACTTTGCAATGATTGAATTGCTGTCAAAAAATGATGTATCACTACGCCATCATGTTCAGTAAAAGTGAAATCTACAGCAAAGAATTATATTTATCTATTTGTGCATGTAAGAAGGGATTGGGTGATAAAATCTCCTACTCGTCTTTTTTGATATCAAAAAAGACTGGTAGGAGATTCTCTATATATACATAAAAAAGAAATGACTGGAGCGTGACTTCCTTTCCAATTGCTAGTAAACAGGTCGAGATTTACATAAATTCTTAAAGGACCCCTCTCACCCTAGGGATTAACGCCTGGTTCCACGGCGGGTGATATCACAGACAAGTTAAAGGAGGTGGCTCATCTCTTTTTATATTCGAAGAGAATAAGATTGTGATGATATCTAGCGGTATCAACACTTAGAAAAATGTTGGTGCCCCTATTCAAGCGCTATCTTTAATATTAAAAAATGTTTTAGTGGCGCCAGGGCCCTTATTCACGAAAACTTAAACTAAGATACAATCGAAATTTTAAGAAAAACTGCAATTCGATTGGCTGACCAATATGCAAATTGGATATATGCAAATTGATTTTTACTGGTCAGCCAATCGAATTGCAGTATTTCTTAAAATTTCGATTGTATCTTAGTTTAAGTTTTCGTGAATAAGGGCCCAGGTAAACTTCCTACAAGTTTAAAGACCTGTTACGTTACATCAATATTCCTTGTCTATATTTTGTTGCGTTTTATTTTTCAGTTGTACCACTGGAATAAACGGGGCGAAAGCTTGTATTGAGCGAAATTCATGACATATTAGGCTTAACCAAGAAATGAAATGAAATGGAGTTTAACGACCTACTGTTCTGCTCCGGCTGGGCTAATGAAGACGGGCATACGCCATGCAGTGCGCTATGATGGACATTTTGCCCGGACATACGGCCTACTCTTATATCGAATTCCAACTTCCAAGGGATATTATACGTGCACGCCAATGTGTACACGGGACTTTCGTCCCACCCGAACTACTAGACAGCTGTCCTTGTCAGGCCCCTGTTCTGCCCCACTAACAAGGATAAACTGCGCCGTAAAGTCCCTAGGGACGTTCTCGGTCAACAATGGGAGCGAACTTGCAACCTCCAGGATATAGCGAGCCAGCGCCCTACTCACTTAGCCACCGTGGCTCCGCTTAACCAAGTGATAAACATGTAAAAATGTTGATTTATATGACTTTTTGGCGTTTGAATTGGTGTTTTAATCTATTTCTATTATTTACTCTAATCACCGTAGGCCAAAGCGACAAGAGAACTAAAATATATGCCCCCAAAGAGTGGTTAGGTTGCAATGGATCTTGATATTGCCGAGCGAGGCGAGTTGATAAATATTTAAAGCTCTTGTTTTATCATTTCGCATGTTTGAAATCGTAACAGTAATGATTAGTACATAATATTCTGGTATTCATTTATATTTGAAAATGCGAACCTCTCAAACGTAACAGTAAATGAACGAATAACAAACAGAATATTTACAAGATTAGAAAGGCAAACGAGCCTTTCCAGTTATCATTTAATGTTCTTTTGATGGGGCCAGACTAGCCGAATAGAAAATGTGCACTTTTAGAGCCCCCCCCCCTCCCCAAACCATAAACGCGACGAGTAAGCATTTCAGTTTATCGAGACTTTAAATTAGCGCATATCCAGAAGTATACTTAAACCAAATCAGTTTTTGTTCCTCGTGGATGAATAAATATTCTAGACAACTGTTTTCAAAAAGTTATTAATCATGTGAGGATAAAGCGATTCGGTTGTTACTTCGTCTGTTATCTTCATCCAGGTCTGTAACAAAAATGTCTGTTCATCTATTCCCTTGGCAGCACACATGTTGGTGGGATCTTTAGAAAGAACATATTGCTTTGTGACAATACCTAGACAGAATCCGTATGCAATTGCCAAATGTAATATATCCATTTCAAAGACGGATAATTGTCTAAATTCGACGTAACCAGTTAGTATCTGATCTACGACATTGACCAGGTCATACACAGAAATTGTTGTGTGTTTGTGCATTTGAATTCGCATAACCACGGTTGTTAAGCGAACTACATCTAATATAGGAAAAGAATATGATAGTTCATTAAAATCGATTATTGCATAGTTCTTTAATATGTTTTCTCTTCGGGTATTTGATGCACTTTTATTGTCATGGTTGTTGCTCTTATTGTTCAATATACGTGGCCAATCAATTATAACATTATAATCATGAAAATCTCCATGGATAATACCTATATAAGATAAAATAAAAATATATTTATTAATGGATTATTTTGAATAAAATACTTTCTCGAATCCCAGTAGGCTTAAACAGAGCGGATTCACCCGGCTACATTTTTATTGATCCCTATAGTTCCTATGTAGAGTAGTCAAACAGTTGGATACGACGCCATCCTATCACATATCTCTTTTTATAAAATAACTTGACGAACACAAACACCAGTAGATGAACATAAGAAAATCATTATATATTTACTGTTTAAAGGGCATTTAATAATTGAACACCTAAAAATTACACAAGTGTTCTATGGAAAACAATTACTGTCTTTTAAATCGGAAGCACGATTAAAGAGTCACTGTAGAAACAATAAATGTTTCCATACAACTGTATTTGATTATATATTTTCTAGGCCTATACCTTTCAGCGATATTACATAAGCTAATAAACACCCCCGTTTAAGCCCAGACTTGATACAAAGCACAAAAAATATATAAATATCAAGTAAACACACCTTTAGGTAGAGCATTTCTCAATGTATCCAATTTATCTGCATATTCTGTTATAGTGTTAGCTATTTGCGGTTGTAAAACCAGTTTCTGTAATAAATCGAAATCATAATTAAACATACACTATGCAAGAGCTAAATCTGCCTATTGCAGGTCTTTCTTTAGGCCTGAAATGTTAAATAAACTATTAATTAGACATTTATTAACAAAACAAGACCATAATCGACTCTTGATGGCATCGGATACTTGAGATTTTAACTAGATTAAAACGGTTCGCCATTTAAAAATTTAACTTAAAAATGTGGAAGCGAGGTTAAGTCTCGATTATACCAGTGCCCTGGTTACCACTGTGCACACATCTTGTCAAAACTACAAACAATGATAACTTGGGTGAGAATGAAGTAATTTGAATGAAATTTTCAAAATTTTCATTTTTCATCATCTATTTTTGAATTATTATAGCAAGAATGACCAACTCATTATTAAACTCTTAAACATAGCCTACATTATGCAAGAGCTAAATCTGATTATTGCAAGTCTTTATTTAGGCGTCAGATGTCATAGAAATTATAAATTAGATCTTTATTTACACAACAAGCATAAAATCAACTCTGTAGACCCACGGATGGCTTGGATTCAGCTTGGCGTCGTGAGCGGAGATTAACCGTTACGTTGACGTCATAACCCCGGATCGCGGCTAAATGATAAAGTGTACGAAGCGAGGCCGCTGTTGAGCGATGCCTTAACAAATGACATCTAAACTATTTAAAGTGCAATATAAACACAAATTATACAATTCCTGGAGACCGTGTGATGACTAATACAGACGGACAGGTCTTCTGTCTTGATAATATCAATAAAAATATTTTTATTTCCCGAATAGGCACGACGCCACTGGTGTATAATACCTATAGATTTATCATAATTGTTTATAATATTATGTCCTATATTCAATTGATTTAATGCATGCCCAAAATACAAGCAAGAATGAAAATTTACCCTCTCACTCATTTTGTCCAATTGTTATAAAAATCCAAAAAAGTAAAACACAAATTCGGATATGATGACAGCAGACAAAAGACAGCAGAGATTATGTAGGTGGAGTTAACGCCTGTCAATCAAACAATCGGCCATACTAAGAATCGGTGAAGATGGAATTCAACCCCAGTTCTAGTCAAAAATTACACTGGTGATAACTATGTTCAGAATAAAGTAATTTGACTGAAATTTTCAATATATTCTTCTTTCATCATCTATTTTTGAACTGTTATAGCAAGAATGGCTAACTCCTTATAAAAATCTCACATAATGTATCTTTAACTAATGTATCTTTAAAACAAGAATTAATGCATATGGGTGTATAGAAATAAACTCGAGATTTTTAAAATGTCGTTGAGAGAGAACAAAACACAAGGGGAGAGGGGTGATATAGACTTAGCCTGTTCCACCAATCCTATCCTTATTGAGTAAAATATTGTTTAAAAAAACAAAAACAAAAACACCAACACCCTAAACTGTGTAAAATACACAATGATGTAGAAGAATACGTGGTTGGCAAATTGAAGAATAGTTGGAAGAATTTATAAATCATTATTCAGATAACCAAAGAGAATTTAGGTCAAATGAAATACGCACCTTTTCAGATCTATAATAAAATAGTACCCGACGAGGATTTTCTAAAGACCATATATTATTAATATCAACATCTAAACCATCTGATGGGAAATCCTGAAATGAAAAACAAAATTAACAGTGCAGTACTGTCCGTTCCAATCATACGCTTGCAGGCGGGAGGGCAACGTGTCCATATTAGTAGCTAGCCTAGGGGTGGGGGCAAGGGGGCAGCTGCCTTAGCCCATTGGGAAAAAAATCGGCTCCCCCAATGGGTGCCCTTTCCATTGGACGCAATACAAAGTCAACGACCAACGTGCCCATATCAGTATGGGCGCCACATAAAGCCGAGAGACATTGGTTTGGCGCCCAAGACGAGACTGGTGGGTCGCCCGTGACGACATCATGGGCGCCCATAATATAATTGGCGGGGCGCCCATAATATAATTGGCGGGGCGCCCATAATGCCGAATGGGATTGGTTATGCCCCTACGAATGAATTCGGCGCCCAAAACGGCATGATAATCTTCAAAATTCAAGTCGCACCCTAACCCGATTGCGAACTTTAAGCTTTTCTCATAAACTATTATAGGTATGTTAAAGTCGTATTCCTTCCTTCCAATTTTTATAATGTTCATATCAAAATATCATAATACGCCAATATCGCAAATTCAGTCTCACAATTGAAAATGTCCGTTATTTTCAGGTGCAAACCCTATTTTCCAAAATTTTCTGGGTGAAGAGCACTCTGGACCCTTCGCTATGAACCATGAAGTGTAGGTACATCGGCGCCCCCAGAAGCCTTTGCCCCCCCCCCCCCCCCACGATTTTTTGGGGCTAGCTACGGGTCTGCGCTTGTCGTGTCTGTGTCAATTAGACCAAATTTTCCCAACTAAACCGGAATACTCATAATATGTGTAACTTCACGTAAAAAGAGCGGTTTCATTTTAATATTTAAACAAACGTATTCTGGCGTTTGTAAACACGAACCAGCATGACATCATCGCAGCCACATTAAAATTGTGATGGCATATCAAAAATTGTCTAAGGAACACGCATGCCCATTTTCATGTCAATCGTACTTGACATGGCGGATCGCCACTTGTGCTTTTCTCGAAGAGCGTCGACCCCACTAAGAAGAACAATAAGATGTGTAGTGTTTGGGACTTAGTTTCTGATCCAAAAGTGTCGTCCCGGTTGGTGCACGAAAATAAAACATTGAATTATTTAAATCCCATTATATTTCCACTAAACACGATATACAGCAATTATTTAAATTTTCAGTACCGGGATATTTTATAGAAAACAAGAGATTTTAATCCTGCAATCATGCCAAATCATATGTCTTACCTGAAGCGTACAATGAAATAAAGCTAACAATGATCCCAGTTCAGTTAGCACTGATGATGTCAGTAGTGATTTATCAGCACCGAGTGGTCGTCCTTTTATATACTTCAACAATCTAACAAGACATTGATCAACTTGACCTAAAATATACCGATACATCAGAATTCAGAAATGTGTGAAATGAAATATATATTTAAAAATATACACAATCCTTACGTAGATTAATAATCGCTGTGGGGTGTTATCATATGATTAAATCATTGAAGATACAAACAAAAACCCCAAAAAACCCCAGCAATATATTTGCTCCCCTAGAGCACTAGGCTGGTAAATGACAATAAACATTTAAACATTTCATATTTAGGTCACCGTAAGCTTATACAGACTTGAGTAGCTTAATACTGTTTACACTCTGAAAAGCAAACCACCAACTAAAATACTTAATGACACAAAAACCGGGATCTATCGTCTTTTTTCCCCACATTTTATCTTCGGGTTCCTGCTTTATTCTTCGAAATATACACGAATTTTTGTTTGTTTTATAACCAGTTGTTACAGTATTTGGGTCTTTATGTTAGATTCTTGACGACAACACCAGTTTAAACTTCATATAATACTTTTATTCTGCTTCTAACATACCAAGTACAAACATCTTAATGTTAAAGACCCCATAATTAACTTGTGGTGAGGGAGCCATGTCCTAGCTTGGCTTGGTACGAGTGCGCCAAATCCCAGACACCCTTCCTAGTCTCGTCTGCTGTTCTCGTTTCCATTCTGGGTTTATAAACCCTTCTAGACAAAAGATCTTATTACATAATCAGATTTAACATTCAGTACAGTTTGCTTGTAAGGCAAAGGACATTAAATAAAACAGGCCAGCCATAAGTTTATATTATGGTAATGACTAATGAATGCCATCAGGACCACCATGGGTGTCAATCGCCGACATAAGAATATTATAATCTATTCTGCTTCCATGTGTCCAGGTGGCACGAAGCGTACCTATAAGTAGTGCTTGGGCCCACAGTTCCTGGTCCAAAAAGAAGAATTGTTTGTAATCCAAATCCAAGATTTAGTCTACCTTCAGCGATCCCTCGAGGAAAGGGGTGGTATGAAAATTGTCGGCTGTTTAAATCTGGAAAAGAGGACGTGCAGTTGAAACCATTCTTTTGTAGAATTTCTTGCATCTGATCTATTTTTTTCTGTACATTTGGCTTTTGAGATTCTTGAAAGTTGATGACCTTTAAAACACAACATTCGCCTCCCTCGGGCATTTGATTTCCATTTATATCCTCTTTATTTTTGATAAATATTTTATAATTGCGATCAGCGAATGAATCAAGTTCTGTATAACTCATGACATCCATTCCATATACATCTGATATCAGTTGTTTTATAAGGTTAGCGTTAATGAAGGGTCTGGTACTAGTGGTAGTCATCTTTAAAATTAGATCTTGGTCCTGTATAAAATGTAAACGTGTAATCATTTTAAGATGTTTTATTGGAAGTAATATATATTTTTAGCAATAATTTTATTAACAATTATATATTAAAAGAGGGGCTATCCCTCTGATCAAGACAAAAATAATTTCGGGGGAATAATTTCATATTCAAAATTGCATTAGACTCACCTATAATTACAGAAAATCCCAAGCACTTTTTGACGTTACTATAGGACATTTTACACGAGCGTTAAACCAATTTAAAACCAAGTTTAAAATTAAACAGTATGTAACTCGTCGAGTTCTTGATATATTTGTCTCCATCAAAGAAAGGTATGTACGAGTATCTCAGCGTTTTCTTTATATATTTGTCGCGGTTCTTGAAATATTTGTCTCCACCAAAGATAAAAGGTTTGTACCAGTATCTCACCGAATTCTTGATATATTTGTATCAGTCAAATGTTGCATACATCACATTTGAACATGCCCAGTGTAACTTTAAATCACGTCAAACTAATTAGAACTGAATGCCTGGTGGCAGTATGGTCGATTAGGAGTTGACGTGCCACAAAACCAATTTTGACTAGATGATTGCCTGATTGGTCACTGCAGAATCTACATGTATTGTAGTTTTGGACTGCATATTTTTTTAAAGCAAGATAAACATATTAAAAAGAAGGTTACACGATACTCTTCAGGTGGACATTTTTAACCGTCATCATTGACTAGACCGTCGAACTAGTGAGAATTTATAGTCATGAATATTAGGACTGGTTGACGGAATTTAAACATACATTATGCAAGAGCTAAATCTGCCTATTGCAGGTCTTTCTTTAGACCTGAAATGTTATATAAACTATTAATTAGACATTTATTAACAAAACAAGACCATAATCAACTCTCGATGGCATCGAATAGTCGAGATTTTAACTAGATTGGAACGGTACGCCATTTAAAAATTTAATTTAAATATGGGAAAGCGAGACTAAGTCACGAATATACCAGTGCCCTGGTTACCACAATTCACAAATCTTGTCAAAACTACAAACAATGATAACTTGGCTCAGAATGAAGTAATTTGAATAAAATTTTCAATATTTTCATTTTGCATTATCTATTTCTGAGCTATTATAGCAAGAATGGCCAACTCTTTATCTAAATCTTACATAATGTATCTTTAAGGCAGTGAATTTTAATCTCAGTCACCTATAGCTGGACAACTGTTTTTTACCTTTAATATATTAGATCTATTAGATCTAAGTTATTTCTGAATCTGAAATTGATTTCCCACGTTACAGGCACCTGCGAAGTGAAAGGGCCGCAATGATGCGCTTTGCGTCATAGGTTTAGAAAAAAATAACGTGACTGCAATGATAAATGGGGTTTACAAAACTATTGGCAGAGTCTAATCTTTATTACATATTACCGTGTCTCATTATGCTACACATTGACTCTACCATGTTGCCCATAATCTCTTGAAGAGCCCCCCCCCCCCCCACCACTTCAACGCCAGAACCCACAGGTTTGTAATTAAAATATTGTCTGTGTGTGGGACATAGATAGATGTTAGGTAGAATAAAGATGTCAGGTAAGATATTCCTGCCTGATTGAGTAAAACCACCATGTAGCACATATCATTCAAGGTTATGTTGCCATATACCGCCCAATAAACACGATATTGTCTATATGACGTATGACTATTAATTATTTAGTAAGGTTAAGTTGACAGAGTAGGTTATGTTTTACATACTCAAGCACGGTAGTAATTTCAAACTGTTCCACTTCACTTACCTGGTACATCGACTCTTTATTCACCTAATGAGTTTGAGCCTGCTGTGTTCATGGCATGCTGATCGATAATATCATTGGCGATTATAGAACGCAATTAAATAGTAAAACCTATCATGAAATATGTTGAACGTGTGTACACAAACCAAAATGTGGAATAATTTATGACACACCTTAAGAACAAATATAAATAATCTTAAAACCAATAAAATAAATGCCGATTGTTTTAAATTCAAAAGATCTCGTCTGAACATAAAATGCGTTACCTTCGCGTTTCTAGTCGTCTGTAAAAAAAACCCAATGACCACGTAAGTTTCTTATAGGCATAATGTTGCCTTGACCTATAACTGTTTAGTCTACACTTGTTTGTTAAATGTCAGTCAACAAGGCTATTAGCCTATTCTTGCGTATATCGTAATCCGCTGGAGATATAATTATGCTGTGACGCAGGAATAAATATTCAGAAACTAAAATTATCTCCCTTTTATTAATCGAACGATTTGCGTAGGCATCTTCATCAGTGTTCATCTTTAGTCATGAAAAACATACACCATAGATTAAAGCTTATGTATCTATTCATTTGTAATTTATTTCACAGTGTGGGGGTGGGGTGCTTATAATTGTCTATAGTGATGACCCAGTAAGGTACTCAAGGTAGCGCCAAATTCTTAAAAATTCAAGCTTATATTTCCAAGATCGTCGTTTTAATCAAGAACAAAAATAGCTTAGGTGGCGTTTATGTGCAACTCTTGAAATCCATTTATTGTTCTTCAAAAATCTTCGCTTCACTGTCTAGTGAATTTATTTGAACATTGAACGCATTTCAAGCTCATTCATGAACTCAGCCTATTACAGGTCTTTATTTTGGCTTCAAATGTTAGATAAACTATTATTTAAACACATGTATTTACATCACAAGCCTATACTCTGATTGTGGAGATTTAAACGAATTGAAAGACGGTGGCTATTTAATGATTTAAAGGGGAAGACCAAAGATTTACAACAAATTTTCCATAAACAATAAATATATATTATATATTTAGGAATACCCCCCCCCCCCCCGTAACTTATTATTCAAACGGTTTTTGTAAGCGAGAAATTAATTTTTTTTATTAAAACTGGAAGTGACGTACTTTGTTCAACGCGGCCGGAGGTCTTTATAGTAAACATACAAGTTTGGAGTAAGTTTAGCGCTGCATTTTGTGATAGTTTCATCGTTTGGCAGAACATATGATCAAATAAGATGTTTATTAGGATATCATAAACATGAACTTATGGGCTTAAAAGTATAATACACAAAACCTTTGCATAAATTCAGTTACTGAAAAGTTTTCAATTAAAAATGCCACGTTTTATCAAAATTTCAAACAGTGATAACTTCGAACATCATAAAGTTATTTATATGAGATTTGCAGTATATTCATCTATTTTTGAACTATTATAGCAAGAAATGCCAGCTCTTTATTTTAATCTTACATATTACATATTTAAATCCGAGTCTGGGATCCTTAGAATTTCTCTTGTTCTCTGGCATTTTCTACCTTGTCTACATCTGTGTGGCATATATTTTAACTTTTGACCCGATGATATAAAAAAAACCCCAAACAATATACACTGTTAACCACCTGTAGATGTTATAAATCACATAATTTATTCAGCTCGACGCAAGACTTAAAATGAAAAGATGCGGTTCGTTTAACTTGAATGTAGGTATCGGTTGAATCATATCATAGAAATATATCTTATTTGGATAGTTTTACGTTGTCGACATTAAAGCTGTAATTTCATATTTTTAAGTTATATTTTTAAAATTTATTAAAATAAAGCATTGAAATAGATGGTATCCATAAACCGTCCTACCTTGTTAAAGAATAATCCTATTAATCATATAAGTCACTATTGCCAGCTGAGAAATTGGCAAAAATATCATTTTCAACTTCAAATTCCAACGTTTGAAGGTAGCTAATGCATGGAGGCAATATGAAAACAAGGGAGGTAATTGTGTTATTATTTCCTGTGTCAATGATTTTTAAGGGTGGGAAATAATGCCCACGGTCGTATAATAGTGAGTTGATAACCTATTGAGCAAAAGACATAGAAATAATTATGTTTTGACTTTCTTAGAAAATATGAAATTATCGCTTTAAGGTGTACGTGTTCTATTGTTCCATTTAAACAAAACATTTTGTAGGAATGTAGGCTTTTATAGATTGAACAAAAAGCTGATAAATGTTGAGATGTGTTGAACATGCTCGAGGGGATTTATAACAAATCTCAGGCACGATATATATTTGATACTAGTTGAGCATCAGAACAACATGATTATTTCATTGGAAATGGGGCGCAAATACCCAAAGGAGTCGGACAAACTCTAAAGCAACTGCATCTCCTTCACTGGGCCCCTTCAATGCCTGTCTACCTGTGGAATAACATGTACATTATTCGTATCTGTTAAATTTGTGCGATTTATATATTAGATTAATATTATTATTTACTCATGGGCGGGGACTGATAACGTCTTACCTCAAATAAATTGCAAAAGACACCAGGAAGTTTCGGAGAGCGATATCTCGTATCACATGTCACTGATGACACATATGCCGGAAACACATGTCGCGCTAGACACCTTTTATTTAAATTACGCAGATTTTACACTGGTTTTAAGTTACACTGATTTTAGATGTTTTATCCATTAGTCAATTTAAAGAAATTTCTATTTTCGAAAAATTGATGATACAATGAATGATCGATGACCGAATCCGGAATGGCTCCAGACCCAAAAATCATGAATAGAGAGAGAGAGAGAGAGAGAGAGAGAGAGAGAGAGATGAGGTTTAACGTCCACTCGATACAAACTAGGTCATTTCGGGACTTCAATAACTCGTTTGCATGTAGGGTTTTTTAGCAGTGGGAGGAAAGCGGAGGGCCCGGAGAAAACCCACGAGGTTGGACAGTCGACCCTACTCCTTGTCACGTACAACCGGGGATTCGAAACCACGCCAGTTGACTCAATGACTGGGTTTATGATACAGCGCACACGTGGCAACCATTCGGCCATCCACCCCCCCACCCCCCAAAAAAAATCATGAAATTTCAGGCATTTATTTTGCCGGCTAGAAAGGCAAAATGATTTTATCTCCCAAATTACTATTTAAATTTATCTTTTCACTTTACCCGTCTGCACAAAAAATCTGATTTTTAAAAGCTTATGCAAGTTATATATATTTAATATTTAATAACGCTTTTATCTGGTGTATCTTTCATTTCATTTTCTTATGAATTAGACTATATTATTATAACAATAATGTGCGCTTTTTGTTGTATAATAATAATAGTTTGTTCAGCTTTTCTTACCGTTTAAAAAATATATGTTTTATCTCTTTTTCGCGGAATTCTATGACATCCCTGTCGGGGGCAGCCAACTTCAACACAACAGTATGATAGGACATAAAATAGATAGTGAGTAGGTACAAATACTTGGGACCCAAGATGGCGTCTTTGTACACTTGAGGTCATATTTTTATGACGTCATATGAAATTTCTGGCTTCACAGTTGTCGCAACCATAGAAATGTCGCAACTTTATCTATAGGCCTATACGGCTTTGACCTGCATAATTTGGCCAATTTGAGTGAATTCGTTCACTGTTTGTAGGAAGACACGAACAGATGAGAACGATATGTTGTAGATACCAGGGCCGGCGGAAGCAATTCTTGATTGGGGGGGGGGGGCTTCCATCCTACGTCCTTATAGGCAAGGGTTCAGGGGCCGCAATAACCTGGAGAAAAGAGTACTTGCGGCCAAATTATTGGGGGTGGGGGGGGGGCTAAACCCCCACCCCACTCCGCCGGGCCTGGTTACAACATGCAAGTGATAGTATGCTGGGATATGTCAGCGTCACATTTTATTGATCAAAGGTCGATTGTGGTGTCATCAAAAATGCTTGCATTTAGATGAACCACGGCGTTTTTAAAGGCCTTTGCCCAGACTCGTTCCCCACTATGAAATAATCAGATAATAAAGAAAATTGAAGGTCATGCCAGTTTTTGAGATGTCTCAAACGAATGGAAATAGGGCTTGGTTTACTTTAATCCAAAATACTTGTCATAAACATCGTTTCTGAAGTGAGTTATTATTCTTTTTTAATCCGAAACACATTACATATTAACATTTTTAATGACTTCACAATCGACCCTTGGATGTAATAATGTGACGCTGACATATCCCAGCATACTGTCACTTGCATGTTGTACCCACACCATATCATATAATCTTCTCATCCGTTCGTGTCTTCCTACAAACAGTGGACGAATTCACTCAAATTGGTCATATTATGCAGGTTGACGGCGCATTATTCTAGATAGCATTATACGAATTTTCATTCCACTAGGACAAACGAGCTCTTAGAATTCTTCGATTGAATCAAAATTGTCAAAACTGAGGCAATTTCACAAGGAGTCCCCAGGGGCGTACATAACGATTTTGTTGGGGGGGGGGGGCTGTTTAGCCACAATGCGACCGACTGATGCACATAGGCTACCCCTAGTACGAGTTTTTCTAGGGGCCATGTGCAGTAGCGGATCTAGAAGCTTGGAATAGGGGTGGGGTCGGGCGGTTCCAAATCTAGGGCGCCATCCACAATCCCACCCCACAATGACTGTCAACAAAATACTGGTAGAACATAGATAGTAGGCCTATTGTATAATCATATAGTTGTTCGCCGATCGTTATCTCGCCGGAAAGCAGTTTTATTTATGTTGAAATAAAGTTTATGTCATATATGATGAATGTGCCAATAACACTGAGCAACCTGAGAACATTTTGAAAAATTGAATCAATATCCTGGCATTTGAGGTCATTGCAGGGAGAAATTCTTGTGGACGAGAGGACCAGAAATGTGAGTCAATGGGACAGAATCTCGAGATCTGCCCTTGTCAATTCTGCGTGTTTTGCAAGAACTGACATAACATTTGTACAGTCTGACGCCCCACAACCCACACACCAGTAGTACTACTAATATAACTGGGCAGTTCACTATAACCATGATAGTGCTGAGACAGTATAAGACAACAGAAGAGTAACCGATCTATTAATTTTTTGGGACTGGGCCTGAAAATTTTAGTAAATGTCATGGCAAATGGAACCAAATTCTCGTTAACGAGAGGATAAAAAATGGGACAGAATGTTGAGGCATATATATCAATTTTGCCTGTTTGTGAGAGTAGAAATAACAATTCTACAGCCTGTCACCCCACAC